CATTTTTTGTAATATTAGATTAAATAGAAAATTGATGGAGAATTTAGCTTGCCCAAACTCTAAATGTTTAAATAATTGTACAGCGTTATACTTATTTTCATTATATTTCATTAACAAAAGAATTTTAATACTTGTTAAATTTTAGGACTTGAGTTGGAGGAACTGCATGTCTGCATGCAAGACAGAAGACAGTGTCAGATCGTTGTAGCTCGAGTTGTAGGAACTGCATGTCAGCATGCAAGACAGAAGACGGTGTCAGACCGCTAGCTCGAGTAAGCTCGAAATAATTGAAGCAAGACCTTAGAGGAATCAAAGTACCCATAGTATTCCTGGGGGTTAAAGTGCTTCCAGGTCAAAAACACATGGTAAAAGTTTTCATTTTTTTTCCAAAGGACTTTGGCTCTACTGATATGAAAACTTACCCTTGGACCTGTAACGTTTCCTTTTTGAGCTTCAACGTCAACCCAATTCTGCATATTGATGTTTTCTACACTTGAACCAAGTTATGTAGGAATCGTGGACAAAAACTGTAGTGTGGCATTTCGTTTTATTTTTGACAATCAGGACAAAACCGTATATCGAAATGAAAACCATAAGGGAAATTCATTATCTTAATGTAATCTAGTTGTTTACCAAATCATATTGAAAGCAAAAATACTGTAAGAGTAGTTAGTGTTTTTAAAAAAATGTTTAAAGACAGATCTGTGTGGATTCGTCCAATATACCGTCACTCGTCGCCAGACCCCAATCATCAAATATTTCATCGTACAAGAGATGAGAAATATGCATGTAATATACATAATATTCAACATAAATTTGTATGTTGACTTGTTTGATGAAAAGAGCAAACAATGTTCACTAATTTTTACTTGCATATGTTGAAATATCGGAAGTAATTGGGTCCAAATCCAAGTCCCAAAATCAATAAAATACTTTTATAAGAGTTCAGAAGGGTGGTTTTAGAAAAAGAAAGGTTCAACAGAATGGGGAAATGTAAGACATAACTGGAAGTCCAGATGAGAGCTGTGATAGAGAGGGTTGATGTTGCGTGAACTCTTACTGGAAAATTACAATAATTTCCTTCTTTACCCCGAAGTGTGTAAAACGAAACAGGAATTTCTGCATCACAATAGGTCTATCTTTTTCTATCTAAGATTTCCGAGAAAACAAATGCAAATTATTAAAGAAAGGGACTTTTTGAACGAAGCGAAATAATATTTTGAACTAAAATTTATTCATGTACCTTTGCCTTTTGCTTTCTTGTCAGCTAAGAATTTTGTCAAAAAAGTAGTAGTATTAAGATTTTATTGCCTCGATACTGTATCTGAGTGGTATGTTATTTTTTATTAATATCAAAATACCGTGTCTTAATGGTATGGGTTTTTTTTAATTCTAATAATCCCTGATCATAGTGTCTAGTTCTAATTTGAATGAAAAAAAAGATGAAGATAACGAACAATGATCGATCTCAAAAAATCTACAAACAATACAAATATGTGAACAGGGCATAAAACACGGACCCCTGGAAATTCCAGAGGTGGAAACAGGTACTAAGGAGGAGTAAGCATCCCTTGTTGACCGGTCACACCCGCCGTGAGCCCTATGTATTGATCAGGTAGACGGAACATTCCGTAGCCAAATTTAATATAAAAACAAAGACTTAGCAACTGGTAATACGACCCAATGATAGGTTGTGTTTGCTTACAAGGTAATTATAATAACCATAGAATTGATAAAATCTGACTTTAAACAGGTTGTTGAATTCCCTGTAACATTAACTTACCTGCCAGGAGCCTGTCTTGATTAAAATTTGATCGTACTCTTGAGTATCGAATAAGTTGGAAGACGTAAACACCATATGCAGGTGAGAGGAATATTACTATATAAATAAGGTAAATTGACGATGAAAAAGCTGAAGTCATCTCTTTTGTCATACAATTTAGTTTTTAGTTGATCCATACCGTGTATAGTCAGTAAAAAATCAGTATATGAAACAGATGCAGCAGACTATAGTGTCTTTTATTTCGAGTTCACTGAGATATATCGAGTCGAATATTAATGGAAGTAACTATTTTTAATTGATAAAACGTCGTCGATGTATCTGAATATCGAGTTGAAAGCCACATTAAATTCTGCTTCATAGGAATATGAAAAAGTCGGCTAATAAAGGAGCACAATTAGTGCCCATCAATATTCCAATAGTTTGTTGGAAAACCTGGTCTCCGAAAACTACATAAATATTGTCAATGAGGAATTCTAGCATCCTTTTAATATCAACTTCTGAGTACTTGTGTTTAGAATTAGGGTGATTTATAATAAAGTAATTTCAATCACAAGATACGAAATTTCCGAGTTCCATTTTTATTGAAGAAGCAGTTCGATGTCTATGATATCAAATAGCCTAGTTTTTAATTTATCGTGAGGAATGGTTGTACATGTATAAATTGTCGAAAAGTCGTGCGTTTAGAGGTTATTGACTTTTGAAAACTAGGCCAATTTAAATTTTCTAAATGTTCCTTGGAGTTTTCTGATTTATACCACTTCTAGAATATGCTGTAACACACTACGCCTGAAGTTTCTCTTTACACTTATTTATATTTTTGTAAGGAGTAAAGAAATTGGCTTGGTATTTGAGCAGTACTCGAAATTTACATTTACACCGGTAGATTCAAAAGGGGGCATGAAATTGAACTGGACAACGATTCAGTGGGTTTTGACAAAAAGACAACTGACTATACAGACAAGATTCAGATACTGATTTAATTGAGTTGGCAGACAATTTAATCATTCACACTATTGTCATCAGTATTGGAGAGGGGGATATGAAGCTATGTACAAATCCAGGTTTATCTAAGAAAAATGGATAAAATTCAATAGAGATATTTCTTCTATACATGTACTTACTTTGATAAGACATTTTGATGATTTCCATTAAACATTCTCGGTGATTCAAACTATGCAACATTCTAAATAAGGTATCTTTATTCTATTCTTCTTAAAAATGTATAAATATATACTTTTATTCAATGCAAGACGTTTACGATTCAACACATTTGGGACTACGCATTTCATCTATTTCGCATTTTCAAGTGCAGGCCCCAATAAATTTCACTACATGTTGTGGTACAGAGATTTATAGTATCTCAACTCTTCAGGAAGTGCAAAATTACGTAAATCAGATGCAAACATGATTTGTTAAATGCAGGGTATTGAAGAGATATATCCTGAGAAACAACTGTTCAGCTGTTTGTTAAATCCTTTATCACAGTATACTAGTCACTGGCGAAAACGGATGCCGGTTCAATTTATTTTTTGGTTTTTCGACAGAAACTTTATTGTAGTAGTCGAGATTTCAAGATAAGAAGGTTTGATGTTACATGTGCTCTTACTGGAAAATCACATTAATTTCCTTATTAACCCTGAAGTATGTAGAACGAAACAGAGAAAACGAAGACTTTCTGATCCCCACTAGATGCATCTTTTTTTCTATCTACTTAAAATTTCCGAGAAAATCAGATACAAACTATAATAGAAAGGGACTTTCTGAACGAAGCGGAAAAAAAATAATTTGAACTACAATGTATTCATACATCTTTGCCGTTTTCTTTATAGCCTGTTCAGAATTTTGTCGAATATTTACATTTCCAATGTCTTTGCCCGAGATAAAATTTCAAATAGTAAATATACTTTATTTCTACATAAATCTACTGGTTCATCGATAGGCGTGGTGAAAAAAAAATCACGGGCGGGGCGGGACAAATAGAGACAGAAGCGAGGCTTGAAGCACGTGAATTTGCAGAATAAAAAGCATGTGAATATAAGGAATAACTGTCAGATTTTTTTGGTTTCATGACGCCTTCGGCGTTTATGCAAATTATCACGCAAGCCAATCGATTAATCACATCATGAAACCAAAAAATTAGACAGTTATACCTTTAAAAAAGTCGTAGTGTTCAGATTTGATCGCATCGATTTTATAATACTGTTTGTTTTTATTACTATCTACTCTGATCAAACTGTTCATTTCTATTCAAAATTGCCTGGGCGGAAGGTCATGTGTTCGAATCACATCCGCGACTGACCTAAAAAAAAAAGGTAGCAATTATTCCTTCGCCAAGCGCTCGGCAGTTTAGAGTGAAAGTCTGGGGTCTTTCGGAAGAGACCTTAAAAACCGAGGCCCCGTGTCACGGTAGGTGTTGGCACAATAAAGAACCCTCACTGCTCAATGGCCCTGAAGTGTTGCATGAGCAAAGGTCTAAATTTGAAGCTCTTCACCAATATATGGTGACGTCTCTATATCAGTGAAAAATTCTCGAACGGAGACAACACACAACCAATCAATCTCGTATAATTGAAATTTATATAGGTTTAAGGGAGGAGCACGAAAATTAGACAACTCAGCAAGTTTGATTACAAGACAGCTGCCTATACAAGCAAGATTCAGCTACTTATGAACTTTATTTTAATTGAGTTGACAGACAATTTAATCATCACACACTGTGTTTGTTTGTTTATTGTTTAACGTCCCTCTCGAGAATTTTTCTTCATATGGAGACGCCACCACTTGCCAGTGGAGAGCTGCAAATTTTGACCTATGCTCGGCACTTAGGGCCATTGAGCAGTGAGGGATCTTTTTCGTGCCAGCACCTAATGCGACACGGGACCTCGGTTTATACGGTTTCCACGTCTACCAATTACCGTCCATCGTTTTTACCGATCTCCATGTCTCACAGTGGGATTCGAACCCGCGACGTAAGGATCTTCTCCTTACTCCGCGACTCTAGAACAAACGCTCCAAACCACTGCGCCACGCGGGCTACTCACACACTGTGTATTGTCATCAGTATTGGAGAGGGGATATGAAGTTATGTATACATCCAGGCTTATTTAAGAAAAATTGATAAAATTCAATTCAATAGAGATATTTCTTCGATATTTATTTTGATAAGACATTTTGATGTCTTCAACTTAACATTCTCGGTGTTCAAACTCATGCAACATTCTTAATAAAGTATCTTTATTCAATTCTTTTTAAAAAATGAATGCATACAATTTTATTTCAATGTAAGACGTTTACATTGCAACACATTTGGGTCAACGCATTTCATATATTTCGCATTTTTAAGTGCAGGCCAAGTAAATTTCACTAATTGTGGTGGTGATTACAGAGATCCATAGTGTCTAACCTCTTCAGGAAGTGCAAAATTACGTCAGTCAGATGCAAACCTGATTTGTTAAATGTAGGGTATTAAACAAGTCAAAAAAAGAGATATATCCGGAGTTAACTTTGTCAAATCCTTATCATCACAAAATACTAGTCACTGACAAAAACGGATACTGGTCCAATTTAATTTTGGTTTATCTACAGAAACCTTTTTGTCGAAGTCGAGATTCTAAGATCTCATTCCATACAAACACGCTTTGGTAAAAATAATTGATATCTTATTACATCTTGTGTAAATGTTGTCATAAAAAACAAAAAAAACAAAAAAAAAAAAACAAAGGAAAGCCATCGGTCAGAACAAGTGCTTTATGCAGTTATATCCGATAATACTTCAAATCTACTAATGTTACTCAAATTTGTCATTACTTGAAGACGATAATGGATTGTTCTGTTAGTAATTATGGTACCATGTGTATATAATGAGTATAATAAAAAAAACAATAAAATCTTAATGAGTGAAATGATCTAGTTCTCAAAAAGGGAGCCATGTAGAATAGAAATTTTGTTACATATATCTCCATATTTTATTACAATTGGGGGGATAAGTTAAAAAGTATATCTATTTTTTCTCTCTCTCTCTCCTCTCTTTGTCTCGTCATGATCTGAGTCAAGTGATATTTTTAGTTGAAGATGATCATGACTAATTAATGGCTTCCTCCTCTGGCCATTGCCCCCCACTGTATCATCACTACCACTAAAATATAACACTACCGAGAGGCTGTAAAACTGTACCAGTCTCCAAAGCAAACCTTAACTTTTTCAAATGTCTTGCCATTACTTTCAGTTGCTTCCACTACCATTCATTATATACTGTTGAGAACGGTTTTCACAGATAGCCATTTTAAGTTGTTTACGGAATGTTTTATCCATTAATCCGTATATAACCGGGTTAGTGATGTGACTGAGTATATACAGATAGCGCAGTATCAGTAGACGCTGATTCAGCTCCGTCCATGGAGATTTATCGTTACTTTTCACAATGACTAGAATCCACGGGATCACGTACGACAGAATGGCTTTGATGGTAATGATCATAAAGATATAGGAGTACCTGTAGAGAGAGAAGTGTCCCTTCCGTTTATGACAGCTCTTCCGCCGGAGTTGTAAAGTGTCGTACGTGTCCGTGATGTTTGGCGCCTTTATCAGCTGCTGTACCTGTTGTTCCTTTGACATGGCTTCGCCGCCATTTGTTTTCGCACATCCGTCCATTCGAACTATCACGGTGCTGTTGAGTGTTTGGGAACTATGGATTTCTTTCCGCTTTCTAGAGGCTTTTATTCTCACCCGCAAAGTCTTAGCCACATAGAAATACATGATAGCCATAGAAATTATTGATATTAAATAAATACAAATCAGAATACCTTGAAAGACAAACATAGCTTGTTTTGACGTCCCCTTGGATGGCGCAGAGCATGTGAAATAGGTAATATTTGTCTCTGGGTTTTGGATTTCTTTAATCCCATAAACGTAGAAAACAGGCGTGAATAGTATGTATGATATGGTTCCAACAATGAGAATGGTGTATTGTTTAACTCGGAGACTCATTTGGTATCCAAAAGGTCGAACGATCTTCTGGAATCTATGATACGCTATGATGGCTAGCATAAATAAAGCCATCGAAGACGTAGAAAATCCAAAATATGTCAAGGTGCTGCATGCATAATGGTCCTGAAACTTAACAGGATAAAAAGATTTAGCTAGCATTACACTGGACACCATCACGCATGCTAAGAGATCAAGGAAGGCCAATATAGGAATAAAGAACCGTTCTTCTATCTGGGACTTTAACTTGGTATGGTACACAAGGATCACTATCGAATTCCCGATAATCCCAAAAATTAGACATAGTAAACAAAAGGCTATGTTCCACCAGAACCTCTTGACCAAAGTAAAGTTTACGTCATCAATGGTCAGGTGGTCAAGAGATGACGTCAAATTCCAAGACATGTTCAAAAATCAAACTCACGAACGAACATTCCTGTATTTCCTTCCCATTATAAGAAACACTCTCGAGTTCTAGATCATTTTACTGCGAGATGTGCCTCGCGTGTCAGTGTTGAATACTTATACAAAATACTGAATCAGACCGGAAGTGGTCCAAGTGACGCTCACTTTACCAACATCCTGCCCTCACAATCAGCTCTGGAAATATTGGTAGGTTCTATATAAAAAAAAATATAAAATATTATAAATATGGCTTTCGTACTCCACGATTTTTTAAGGAAGTTCACTTTTTCTTATCTCGACCTTTAAAACGATTCTTTATCAGAACGCCATACTTCAGTGTAACAGCACGTACACCACACTGATTAAATCGACTTTCAAGCTTTAAAAAAACAAATGAGGAATCTATTACTTAAATATCCAAAATTATATACAAAAACACTTAACACATCCAATTATATCAATTTTTAATTGTTTCTCACTATGAGAAAAATGTCAAGTTTCTATACCATTATTAAATCTTCATAAACAGAAAAAACAGTGAGCAATAGTATCCGACATAAGCACTGTAGGAATGTAGACAGTATCACTGGAATATACAGAAAACTCTAAATAATTAACTATATAATCATATCACACTCTGGTCCTCAGCGTATATCAAAACCCTTAAAAATTAGAAAACCGGAAACAGCACACAAATATCAAACATCTAATTATACTCACAGAGTCTATTTTACGCATACATGAAAAACACAAATGTACAAAATGCCTAAAAAAGGTAAAAATTAGAGATCTACATATATTTAAAGTATCAACTTCACTAAAGCTCTTTTTTAAAACGAATTTAAGTTTGGTCTTTATCATCGGGGGCGTGGTCAGGTGTCGTCTGCCTCTCTACTACCGACTCGGCGACAGAGGCTCGAGCTAACAACAATAATCTGTCCGATTCCTGACCCGCCTCCTCGACAGAAGGTCGTCTGACTCTATCCCTGTATTGGTCAATAATGTCTGCTTCTTCCGAAAACTCGGTTGATAAGTCTTCCGATTTCTCGATAAAGCTTGGTATATTGTAAGGTACTTCTTGTCGTTCTGACGAGAATAGTTTTGCGTCACTACCAGACGGTGCGTCATAAATAGGGTCACGTGACCCAAGTTCTAAAGGTTTGCCACCAAAACGATGTTTATCTGAGAACATTCCTGACACAACACGTTCACGATCAACAGACTTTCTGCTGGTTTTCTGATACAGTTTTTGGGGTTTGTTTTCACTCGTTCTCCTCAAAAAACCGCTGGATTTCTCTTGGATAGACTCGTTGGTTCGTTTCTCTGTAGATCTTCGTTTACTTTCGGTCTTTGGCTTAAGGACAAGGTTCAGGGGGCTCTCCATGTTTGGAAACGGTAACCAATGATGAGCCTTCGGTCCAAACTTAAAGCAAAGTTTCTTTGGATAACCCGCTCCTTTTGGCAGCTCTGCGAAATAACCCATCGTCTTGCTGTATCTGTAGGAAAAATTAAAAATTCAGATAATACAATTCAAATCTGAAACAATATGATATATAAAATGAGAACTGTCAAAAAGAAGAAATTGTAAGGTAAGTTTTAATTCTTACAACAAAAATGTCTATAATTATGTTTTACCTAAACGCTCTTCCCATGTGGTCATATGTCATTTTAGTAAATTTCTTGGTTTTGCCCCACAGTCTGGCGACCTCTGCTGAGTCCACTATCCGGAATACTCCGTCCAGAATATTCTCCCATTGGATAATAGAGGGGTTATACTTAGGGTCATGAAGAAGGTCCCGGATGAACTCCCACAGCTGGTATTTATCATGCGAAAACTGGGCTACAAAGAGAAAGACCATTTGAAATTATTTTAAACCACGACAGGGTAGGCATAAAGAACTGCGAACGATACCATTGCTCTGCAGTCTACTTTCAAGACAGTTTTTGAAAGTTAACATACATGTATTTGAATGATTTTTTCATATTTATATAAAAAATTAACGAATTCATACCACAGCTTTTGTTGTTTCACGGGGGGGGGGGGGGGGGTTACAATAATACAGCAAAAATGTTCATTTTATTATCAATTTCAAATTTAAATGAGATTACAACTAAAAATATGTACTTTATCAATCTTATATGTTAAATTTACATAAGTCACCCACACGGAAAGAATCCATATCCAGGAGTATTTTGAAATTAATTTGACAATGGTAATAAAGTTACGAATGAAATTTGCTTTGCATTAAAAGTTTGAATGGCCAAATTGCCATTAATGTTGAATTAAATGTGTATTAAATGTAGGCAGGAATCTAGAGTTAGCGTGCGTAGTTCTTAAAACAGAGGAGAAAGCTCTGCCTTCGGGGGCCATAAAACTTAGACGAAAAAAGTTATAAATAGTGGAAAAGTGAGACCGAGATCAAAATGAGCTCGTCAGTTTAAGTTTTATGGTCCCGGGGGCCTGATCAAAGATGCTTATTACATGTATTATATGACGTCATCAACAAACATTGAGACCTGTAATTTACTACGCTAGGGGATTTTTTTGAGGAAAGTTCACCAAGCGGAAACATCTCTCCACCATGGGGGGATGTTGACTAGATTAAAGATTTTTCCAGAGATAGTGATGTGATGTTTCTGTCATTAGTTCCGATGTGTTCAAAGACACCATTTTTTGGTACCATTCTACGATTACAGAAACACAATACAAACATTAATTAATTACAAAAACTATGACATAATTTAAGGAAACAACTTTCGTTTCCTGTATGAAATATCCTCGTTTTTAACCCGGTCATTGTAAAACGAAGGCCATATTTTGTACTTCAATTAGCCGATTATATCAATAAATAGAAACGGAACTCTTCCAATTCATTCTACACAGATCAATTGTTTTTGATGAAACAACACTCATGAATTTGTAATTATATTACTTTCAGTGACCTGGTCAGACAGCATTGCCTGTACATCAGTTTGAAATAGTGAAGACGGTGAGGCCCCATTTCTAGCAAGAAGGAAAACAAATAAATGAAATGGGTTGGCCTTTTGATTACATCTACAAAAATTTTCAATCATTCTATATGCGAATTAAAAGGGGGGATATAAAAGCAGAAAGCCCTACCATGTACTTTTGATGTTCATAATTATAAAATATTTTGGGTATTCCCCTACTTGTATGTCTTTTCTATCAATCAAGCAATTCTTTCCCTCTTATGTATATGTATATTGTATTTCGTGTGTATGATCATAATCATTATATACAATTTAACAATGTACTTTATTTTTGCCCCATGAGAGCCCTTAATTGGTCAATAAACGAATTGAATATATAATGTAATGATTTGATGTGAGCAATTTTTTACCTTGGTAGCATAAGATATTCAGAGTTGTACTCTACTGGTATGTAAGTATTATAGTGGAAGAAAAAAAACTGCATTTTGACTTCATTTTTTGTAGTTTGGCATTTATACAAAATTACGTACGTGTATATTAATTTTTTTCTCTGAAATTGTACCAATTTTTATTGAATCTTTAGGATTAGTGTTTGGGAGGAATTTCACGGATGTTTCCATTTTGGGTGACCCTGAAGTGGCATTAAGCATTTCACATATATACATGTATCAATTTTTGATGATCTCGAATACACCATTGGTCGAAACCAGGAAAAAAATTCCACAGAATTTGCATCTTTGTGTATTCTTCTTGTGTGTTTAGTTTTACTGAAAGAGTTTTGAAAATATTTTATAGAAATTTCTGTTTCGAGTACTTTCGAGTAAACTTAGATTCAACAGTCTGAAATTGTTTTTTTAAAAAAAAAAATAAATAAAATATAGTTAATCAGATCTAAGGGCTCAATGCATCCTGAAACGCAAAATTTCACTGTTTACAGTCGATCATCTGTCCTGGGCCTAGGGCCATAAAACTTAGATGAGCTCACTTCTGATCTCAGTCTTACTTTTCACAATAAATTCCTTTTGTAAAAGTGAGACTTAGATTTTAAAATAAAGTGAGCTTGTCTAGGTCTTATGGTCCCCGAGCCAGTGCTTTATTTCTTATATAGTCTCTATATTAGGTGAGACAGTAAGTTTTACAGCAGAATTATCTCAGTCCTTCTTCCGACATCAAACATGACCTTGTTCTTAAAAATAGACTTTATTTGTAATCAAGCACTAGATAAAATCACATAAACAAATTATTATAAGATATTTAGTGTACCATCCATCCAAATAAATGAAACAGTTATAAAACAGGAACCTGTAAATAGGTCCCAATACAAAACAACAAACTCTGTTATCAAAAACTACACTTTGTTATCAACATCACTTTGATATTACATTGTATTATTATTATTAAAAGCAGGTCAAGAATTAAAGATTTTAAACAGGCGTTAGATATTTGTTATTAATATTCTATGTGAAAAACACCTCTTTCCTATAAGAAATGGAAAAATTTATAGTATCCAAGATAAAACAAACAAACAAATTCTATTTTGAAATTCATTCTGACAAGACTTCAGAAATACATAAAAAATGTAAAATGTGTCCAACATTTTACAATTCAAACATTACGAATAAAGTAATGCCCATTACATCAATAAATCTCTGTATACTATATCTATACAATAAATAGAGGCAGCATCTGGTTAGTCAAAAAATGCCCCTTTTTTAAAAAATACATAATTAAAAAACAAACATGCAAAAAAAAAATGCAGGTGGGAAACTGAGAGTGAAATCCTTCTTATTTTTCTAATATACTACCAGTAGCATATTTCTTCAAGGTACATTCCTTTTAATAAATTGATATTTAAGAGGGGGTGCAATTACTCTACAAACCACAAGACTTTTCCTTGCATCTTTAAAATTCAATAATTAGGTCAATTTAATGGATTACACTTTCACCACACAAACAAAATTATTAAAATCTGTTCTAGGAGTCCCAAAAATAAAGGGTAAGAATAAAGGAAAATATAAAATGGTGTACGAAAGCAAGTTAAAGATGCAATTAAATGATATTTTTTTTCTTTGAGATTAAATTTCAATCTGATCAATCTATGGAATGTTATTTATAAATCTTATATATTGTTATTCACAACAATCTTTAAAGTACCTTCATGTTCATGTAAAATACAACTTTAGGAATAATTCTATGAATATATATTTAAAAACAACAACTAAGTTCAGTAAAGCGTTTACAATATATGTACATATGTAATACATTTCCTTTTTTTTTTACCCTAACTAACAATGCACAGTTTTGACATTTAAAGCTTTAAGAAAATGGCAAATAAATTCTCATTGTTGTTTTTATTTGGTGATCTCAAGAAAAGCTGTAAGACCTTAAATCAGACATGATTCTTCAATGATTTTTACAAGAACAACCATACACATGATTTTGCTATATATTACACAATAGGATAGAAACATGTACAAAGGTAGATAATTCAATTTTCCCAAAAATCTGTAAAGTGATATGGTCCACTTTTGACTTGATTGAAAACTAAAATATGATAGATGTTTGTTAAAAAAAAATTTTTTTTTTTTTTTTAAAAATTCATTTTAATTTGGAGACATACACTGAGATATCATTTTATAAACATGTTTATAAACAAAAATTCTATGAATATCTATCATTGAAGGATTTCAAAAGACCATGTGACATCCACCACCTGATGAAGTGAAGCTTGCTGTGTGACTATACTTTCGTATCACATGAAACCTGTTATAAATTCTATTCATACACAAATTCATTTTCTCTAAATGGCGTTCTGCTGATGCCATCATTTTGCTCCAATAAATAGCTAGAGTTGTCAGCTTCACCAAACTCCAGCTATTCTAATAAACTTATTTTCAATTTTTTATGAGTTCTTCAAAAGGTTCTGAATTTGAATCTCTATAACTTAAACTCATTAGAAAAAATATGCAGATGCTTTAAGTGTTTTCCTATTGAAATCTATGCAAAGTCCCATATCACATATATGTATAAAAAAAGAATAGAAATATTGGAATGCTTTCAGCTGCAAAATTGTATAACATATTACAACCACACCACAACAAAATTCAATTTGTGAATTGTTAAATGTACCAACAAAATGACTAAACAAAGAATATGGCTTCTTTAAGCTCAGCAACAACCTTAAAGTTACCCCAATAAGTGTGTGTATTATACTTTAAATGTGTAAAATTATAACACTTTGGCATAAGGAAATTTCTTTGAAACGTGGCTTTCAGATACTGTTAAATTTAATATATGCATAAACAAAATTAACATTCAAGTAAATACTTTTTTGGTCAGCAAAAATATGTCCCTGAACTTTATAAAATATGTAAAAGCAAGATGAGCTGCAATTTTAATGCATGAATTTTTTTTCTCAAAAAAAAAAAAAAAAGGAATTCACTATTTCATTGACAAAAAATATGAACATTATTGTCTTCCTGTACAAAAATTAAACTCTTACATGAAATTGTACTCTACTTTAAAAGCAGAAATTTGTGTACAGATAAAATTTTCTTGATTTGTGATCTAATTAATTTCATGGGGACTTATTTCTGACATTCTAGATATTATATAAACTAATTAAAATTTTGTCATGGATTTAATTTCACTGATAGAAATAAATAAAATTTAATCCCCAATGACTATTTCCACTTTAACAGAACCTGTCATAGTACAAAAATCTTTCCTCTGCTAAAATTTGCTGCTTAAGGATTTTAATTACATACAGAATTATCAATATAGCAAATTTTTACAACAAATTAAAATAGAGCTCATATTGCCTTAAAATAAAGGTTCATATAACTTAATCATGAATACACATTCACACATGATGTCAAATAAATACAATATAAACAACATTTATATTGACTCTCTCTAAGACCTTTACTACTATAAAACCTATAAACCTGTTCTAATAGAACTTCATTTAATGAATGATATATTAAAGGAATACTTGTTAAAGATATATATCTGATGAGGTATTAAATAAGTGTATAATAAAATATAGTATAATTGTTTTTGCTTTTCAATTTTGCTAGTAATTAGGAGCTTTAAATATATATGTACACAAGTATGTGTATTTAAATTAGAAATTTAAGCAACACACTTTTGTAAAACATAAGTACATTCATTAATTAGAGCTTACCTTAACTTCTGTGTGTTGTCTAATTTTTTACCCAATACTGTGCTATTCGTGGCATATTCTGATATACTTGTCCATAAGAGACCAATATATGAAACAGGGTGATAAATATCTGATATAAATATACAATGAATAAGTTCTGGATCCTCCCCACGTCTCTAGCCAGGATCAAGTTTGACTGGGATCTGAATCGTCTGAAGACTTTTGCTGTTCTTTCATTCTCTGTTCTATAGAGGCTGCTGCAGCAGCAAAATGTTCCCCCACAATCCTGGAATGTTCACTTACTGTGTGGGAATATATATTCTCACCAGACGTAGATCTGCTCATAGACTCACTCTGATCACTAGCTTTACGCGTGACAAGGTTCATTGGTTCATCATCCTTTTGGGAAGTTTTCATGGTGATCCAGCTAGGTGGTGCTGGTGGCTCAACTTCCTGTTCCTTATGCTCTGTCTTGGGGTGCCATCCATGGGCTTTCGGGCCGAATTTGAAGCACAGTTTCTTGGGATAGCCTGCATTTTTTGGCAGATCAGCGAAATAGCCCAAAGTCCTACAGTACCTAGAGATTTAATTGTTTCTATTAAAGATACATAAAACCCATACAAAAACTCTCTGATTGCATATTCTATCATAAACAAGAATGTCCAGAGAGTGGGATTAATTACAAAACTACATAATTCAAAAGTTTAATATGAAAAAGTATTTATAAAAGTACTTCTTTATGATAAGTCTGGCCTTGTTCTTACCTAAGTGAACGACTCATATATTCATAAGTCATTTTGGTCGATTTCTTCGTTTTGCCCCAGAGACTCGCTACCTCTGCTGAGTCGACGACTCGGAACACTCCATCATCAGCATTCTCCCAGCGAATTAGCCGAGGGCAGTACTTAGGGTCGTGTAAAAGGTCCCGAATGAACTCCCAGAGATGATACACATCGTGAACAGCATGGGCTGAAAACCACGGCAGAGGATTATTTGTAATGGCATGCAGGGGATCAGTTTGTCTGTTCACTACATGTATCTATACAAAATAAACTCGGCTCTTCTAAATTTATGATGCTCTATACTGCATTTGATGTTAAAAAAAAGAAGAGTGTTCTTTTCATACATCGTAGCTAGAACCATGAACCCCAGAAAACATTACACCTCATTGTATGTACGGTAACCTGTGTATTCTTACACACACACACAAATGTACTGTGTATTGAATAGAGATTGAGGCTGTGGCATTAATCAACATATTACGTGTAAAACCATAAGTATTAAGAATGTAATTTTTAATCACTGGCTTTAATCACTGTACTAAATTGTAGCCTTTCCAAAGACTTTACAAAGTTATATTTATAGACTAAGAGGGTGTAAAGTTACAACATTTCATCATATTCACTGAAATCAAACAAAACGAAAAATAAAACACACACTTTATAGTAAATGATATATTCTCTTGTAAAATCCAGCAAGTAAATGCCAAGTATATACGTAATTTGACAGATTCTCAAATGTTTATTCAAATGAAGAAAGAAACTGACAGAGTACTATAATTAAAGATTTCAACCAAAATAATAATTTTATTGACTACTGGCTTTATACATGTATATTTTTTCTGATCTTAAAAAAAACTTGGAATGGCTTAATTCCGAAATGAATAAAGTTTAACATACATTTTCATAAATCATGAACAAGACGTGAAGTTTAGACTAGGTAAAGTAATATCCTTTGACAAAAAAGCCTTGAATTTATTTAAATCAATGAGAATAGCCAATGGGATGCTCTGTGTTTGATAACACATGCAGCCAGATGTCCCACTATGATAGAATTGAATTGCATGAATTAACATTGATAACCTGAAATAACATTTAAATAAAACTGACAGATCAAATTCTGTTTACATCTCCAGGAAAAAAATAAACAAATAAATTAAAGATATTAACCTATTTTGAATAGGATTCTTTTACAAAGATTTTAAATTGATCCAACAGGATACAGTAGACTGATACAGAGTGCTGACAAAATGGCTAATTATGACTAATGTTCTGCAGAGGGCCTATATGTACAGGACAACTACCTGCCCAGCTAGAGATTTCTCTGCATGCCAAAAAAATACTAAGAAACACTCCCTATACACTCCTGCACCTTAAAAAATTGCTAGATTTCCTCTTGAAGTAAACAATTCAGTTCTGAATTGAAAAGCTTATGCTGGTTGACGTGAACCGTGTCCTTTAAATGCCACTTTCCTTGATGAGTCTTCTCCTTTACTTCCCTTAATAGTTTCCTGGTTGTTTACAGCGAGTTAAAACCCAACAAGAGTTACTGACCTAGAAACTCACCAAGACAACTGAACTAGTTATTCATTAGTCTTGACTTTAGAGAATGCAAATCAGGCATATTTTAACAGTATTCTGACAGTGCCTAAATATTTTCATGCATTAAATGTTTTCTTTTAATTATAATGTTATGATACACAGAATATTGTACAGTACCGGTATATCTGGTACATAGATGTAAATCTGACATACGATAAAGAAATGTTCTCTGTGTTCTTCTCATTTAAATCTTGCAACATTAATATAACACTTAGAGCTGTTCAGACTGTGTATGAATTATAAATCATGTATAAAAGTCCTGATTTCATCGTTTGGACATTAACACCACCTGACAAGTTAACATATGTCTCTTGAGATGGTACTGGTTTTTGAAGCCCTTTCTACACTTGTAACAGTGGAAGGGTCGCACTGCAGAGTGTGTCCGTCGATGTGCAATAAGATTACTAAGAGCAGGAAATCGTTTTCCACAAATGTCACAAGACGGGCAGTCGGCAGCGTCAGTGTGCTGCATTTTCTGGTGGTTTCGGTAACCTTTGCTAGATTTGAATCCTTTGTAGCACTGGGGACAGATTTTACAGAATTCATGATTTTTGACAGAAGAGAAATGTGCCATGATGGCGGAATGGTCTGGGAATTGGACATTACAGTAACGACAAGCTAACTCGCTCGAGTCCACTCCACAGAGGTCAACTACGCCCACTGACTCATCATCATCTAAAACAAAAACAAAACGGCCTTAAGACACCTGCAGGCACAAATCAACTATTCCAAGAAACTGCATGCAGGGATTTTTATTTTTACCTCCTAGATTAAATGTCAGATTAGGAAAAAGACAGACACAACTACATTTTAGTTACAATCATTAGCTCTTGTCTCCAGAATCAGAATGGAATATGTGACACTGGAATTTAATTCTCAAAAGACAGCTCTGTGGAGTGGTCGACATGCCATGACCTTGAACATCAGAAATGTTATACAATCTAAAAACTGGTTATAACAAATGTATGACAAGGAAAACGTGGCACACTTTTCTGTTACCAAGCATGCATGAATGAAACTATTCTACCAGCATTACTAACTTGGGTATTTATATTTTATAATACACAGGTATTGCATACTAGTTACTGTGCATTTTCATAACTGATATTTTTTGAAGTCATCTAATATGGGCGTAGTCTCGATTCACTGTATAAAAATATTCTACAGCACTCATTGTAAGGGGCATAAGATTTCTGAAATTTAAAGATTAAATTGCGGATCTTGGTATAATGAACACACGGAAGGTGCGTGGGCAGGACTAACAAAAGAACTTTAAAGCACTTTACAAATACAGCCACGATATTTATATAACTCTTTCTTATGTTGTATCATTCAAGATCACTGAGTTCAACCTGTGTCTCAAAACACACCATGTATAGTACAACCAGCACACAATTACGAAATATAGTCCACTCATCTTCTAGAGTCTTTCAATAGATTTCTTTTTCAAGTTTGTTAAATAACACTTTTTAACTTCTTCTGTTTGGTTGATTTCCATACTAAATCTATTAAATTTATCCATGTTAAGTCAATATTTTTTGTTGTAATCTCAGTGTTTACTTATATAAAACTAACATCTTGAAACACACTGATGAAGAATTTACTACACATATGTAATTTAAATGAGTTAAAATGACATCTTTGTATTCAATGTACATGCAAACTCAAAGTCCAAGGGTATAGCATGAATGTTGCTTAGAAAATTACAAAATTACTAGTTTACAGAAGATTTTCACATAGATAAATGTCTTTCTGAAAAATAAGCATTAAAATATCATGTAAATTCTATCCAGTATATCTGCATTAGAATAGTAAGGCCAAAAAAAAATAATAGTCTTGTTTCCTGCTACCCGACCTACCCTATTTTTTTTGCACCCAACCCTAAAGTTTTTTTTTAGTTTTGGAAAAAAAAAATCAGGAATTTCATGTTCCAAAACTGAAAAAAATGTATATTCAAGTGGTATTTCATGAAATTCTTTGTTTTAAATATGGACTTTCATAAAATACCACTTGAGTTGTGCATCGAAAGACATGAAATTTAATTTTAAAAGATAATATTGACCTGACATATTTAATTTGGTTTTGTATTAGTTCATATCCAAAAAATACTGTTGGAAAAAAATAAAATAAAATAAAAAAATAAAATAATTTTCCTACCTACCTACCTTATTTTTTTCAGGCTGGTAGCAGGAAACAAGACTATTATTTCTTTTGGCCTAAGAAAAACTCTCTGATTAAAAAGATAATTCTTGCAGCTATGCTAAGGACAATGGAAGAATGCATTCAAAGAATTTAAGTTTTTTCCTCTTTGCTTTTCAGATAATGCTCAAACACTATCTATAATAATTACATATGTTGTTCTCTAGATTGTACAAGATATAGATCCCATAGCAAGAACAATGCTTTTAATTCTCCATGCACGTGTGTGCAATTGTTTTCTTTTCACATACACACAATGACATATCATTTATATACAGATATAGGTGCCTTGCAACTTCAAAATTTCTCACTTGTACGACCCAGTGTCTATCAAGTCACATAAAAAATACATGTTTAGAGGAAGACCAGATATTCTTTCAATTGTGTCTGCATGTTATATTTCTTACAATCTTCAACACATTCTAGATGTCATTTCCCCTTGGTTTCTGATGAAAGTTAGAATTGAAGGGGGGGGGGGTCCATAATGCCGACAAAAAATTGATTACACGTTGCAGAGAAAAGGTATGTTATGGCTATAAAATAAACACATCTAAGAGGAATAAATAATGTTGCTAAAACAAATACTTTTTTTAATGAGAATAAAAGTCTCAAATTCTAGGAAGGAAAATAGCATACATGCGTGTAAATTATAAGGCAGTTTAAGTGAAGGAAATGTTTACCTTTGACAGAGTTGTCTTGCCAGAGTGATCCCCCTTCACTCCCTGCATTACTGCTGTCATCACCAGGGGGCTCTTCTTCAGTATTATTATAAGGAGTTGTGGTTCCTGATGTGCTCTCCTCTGGAATGTCTATATGTAGTTCCTCATTTTCCTGTGGTTCTTCACTTTTAATTACAGAAAGATCAGGGGCACTAACAAACAAAAAAAAAAATTACACAACTTTTGAAATTTCATCTGGCATTTAATCTCAAAATCTGTTAGAGTACGTACTCTGAATTCATTTTTGAGCTTGAAATATTTTCAGATTGAGTTCTATAAGCAGCATTCTGCCTACCTTGAGGTACAAGGAGAACTGGGTACAGATGAGGTACTACCAAGGTCCTTGCTGGGGTCCTCTGTATGGTATGACATATGAAGAGGAGGGCCTAGAGAAGTGGGCAGCATCCCTCCCGTCATTTGACGTAAAGGAATTGGAATGCCTGCAAATGGTCGCCCATCAAAAAGACCCGGCCTGAAAATGGGTTGCATGAAAGATTTTTGCATTTGGGCTGCAGTGGGCTGTCGATGGGGAATCGGTGGTCTGTATGAGGATGAAGGCTGAGGGGAGGATAACGATGGTGAGGATACCGACTTGGAGCTCAGGTCATGTAAACTCGTCCCTAGTATCTCGCTGGAGGGTAGATTAGATGGGTAGGAATCCTGTTTTCTATGAGGCATCTCATGGGAATTCTGTCGATGATGATGATGATATCTGGAATGTGTCTCCCCTGTCAGAAGGTGTCGTCGATCGTGAGTTTTGTGAGTTTCTGGGGTCCTGGGTGCAGAGTCCATGGAATGAGCTGCCTCTTGTTTACGTGAGGAGGAATGCGGTGAGCCTACATTATGAAAATTTTGTGAGGAGGATGCCCTGGAATGAGGTAGAATATTTGTCATATTAACAACTTGTGTATCATGATCACTTGAAATTCTACTGGCCACTGAAAGAGCCATTGTCTGTTGTATGGGAGGCTCTGATTGGTTGATATTATTAGGATCGGGAGGTTCACGATGCACAATTTCAATACTATCCTTCATGATTTCTACTTCACTTGTAGATGACCTGGGGGTTTGAATAGCCTGAGGAGAATATTGAGCCTCCATTACTCCTAATGACCTGTCTGTCTCCAAATTCCTGGCCATATCCATTGCATGAGACAGCCTCTCGTTGCTTGCTATGTTTTGCATCGGTAGGAGCAGAGGAGGTGGAGGTGTTGGTCTGTTCATCTTCTGTCGTTTACTTTCTCCCTCAGGTGACACTGTTTCGCCTTCTGAATGCCGTTTCACAGTTTCCTGTACTTTTAAAAGATCTGATGACCGAACATAAACAGATTCTGGACTCTCTTTTATTCTAAACCTTTTCTCACAGGGTAAACCTGTTTTTTCACCAAGGCACTTGCTAAAATCGGCACAGCAGCGTACAACACTTTCTACCTGTAGAATTTTTGCTATTTTTTCTATATCTTTGTAATTGTCTCCTGTCAGCATCATAAAACCTTCGTACAAATATTTCAGAAAAGTTTGGACTGACTCCTGTTTGATGTCTGCTGATAGTCTGACTTCCAGATGGGAACCAATAGCAGCATTCTCCATTGTTTGTAACATGGGACAAGCAGCAACCAACACTAATCTATGGGCCTAGAAAATTAGAATTAGATGTTATAATGATATACAGTCCAATCAAATACTGTAGATTCCTTATTTCACATGAGTATTTAAAATCGTGAAAAGGCTCTCAAACGTCAAATCACAAGAACAATAATTCACAAGTGGACTATTGATCTAGAGCTTTTAAGTGGATTTCGGTACCAAAAAAATGAAAACGAGTAATTTTATTTCACAAGTGCTGCTTCTTGCGAATTTTTGTGATATTAAATTCCTCATGTATATTTAGGAATCTACAGTATTCTGGATTTATATGCAACATAAATAGCTGTTAGCCAGTGTTTATTGATCCATCTCATTCTTCACTGATAAGATTCTGGTTTAATTCTGACTTCCTTCAGAAAACAAACTGTCTGAAATCTCATTGGATCCTTATCAAAAGCTTCCCATGTGTCCATTTAAATCTGACGGACATATACGACAAGACTACCTGGCAAACAACTTTATTGATCAGACATATATATATGTTTCTAAAGCATATGAAAGTCAATTTGGGGAACAAGATTTTCAAAGATAAATTTTCAGTTTTTTTTCAAGCAGACTTCCCTTTTCTTTTATCAAATCAAGATTTCAAATACTTTAATACACCTAGTCAATCAATGCATATACATGTACATATACATAAAGAAATTATCAAACATCTATCTATTAGTCCTAGTATTGTAAATAATTTTTCAATGCATTTTCAGGGTATGACATTACGGTACCATAATTTTAACAAGTACAAGACCAGTCAAGCTACTTCCCATAATTTTTACTAGCCCTGCATGACCATAAAACTACTAGCCCTGACCTAATTAAGTAATCATGGTAATTAGTTGCAAATGAGCTTCTTACATCCTGCTAATTTACTTCTTATAATCTGCTGATTTGAATGAGATAACTTTTGTTCTTTTATAATATTTATATTAAATCAATTATAATATTCACATTCATGTGTCAACATCAACTACCATGGCTCTTGACCATTCATTAAGTCGCTGCAGGGTTGATCTGGACATGCGAATATATTATATTTTTAAAGAACATTCCAACAAACTCTAGTAAAATTAAATTATTGAAATTCTAAATATTATTGAACTTATCAAAGAATACATTATTCCTTTACTATTTATACAAATTAATGCTGAACGAAGATAGTTTCAACATCACCTCTTTCTACCACAACTTGTCTATTACAACCCTGGCTAAAATTAGCAACAGTGACCGTGTCATGCTGGGAAAGCAATGGCAGGTGTTTAGAATTGAAAAATAAGAAAATTTTGAATATTTGAAGTGAAATTGGGGTTTACATTTATTTTACAAATCTGTCTTACATTTTACACGACTGGACCACTCATTTACTAGATTGGGTCAGTCGACATGATTTCAAATTGGTGTCAAACCCTGTTTTTCACAAGGCAACTGACCATACAGCTGGACATATTATCAAATTAACAAGCCTTATCTTAATATGCCCAATGGATTGTCTTGAGCACTAACTCGTCCACTAATCCTCGTTGATGATTGTTACTGTACCTTGGTGTCTTTACTCCCTGTTTTAATGATGGCATCACACAGGAGTTGGCTCCTCCACATTTCAGCCACCTGCCCCATTAAGGAGCTGGAGAAGATTTGGTTCATATAAGCTTTCTGGTAGTTCATGGCTATGGTCAATTTACAAAAGGTCAAGGTCAGCAAAGCTGCAAAAGGAGTGATTGTCTTTACATCTAATTCTGCACAGGTATTTCATCTGATTATTTCAATTCAGAATTAAAGATATGATCATTCAAAAATTTATTTATTTTGTTATAAAAAACAAGGGACAATCAATGCTTTGAGTACTTACATAAAACACACTTTTACCAGAATGCTATTTCGGCTAACTTTCATTTAAACAAACTTTTACATCTTATCGTGATTTTTTTATTCAGTTTTTTTAATAGTTCAACAAAGGACATACTCAAAATGATTTTTTGGAATTTAAAAACGTTTTTCTCCTTGTCACATTGCATTTGTTTGTACGTATCCTGCAATGTGTTTATCTACATAACTTTGAGCTGAATGTTAGCCATACTGGACTACCATTATAAAAATTAATAAGTTTTGACGACTTCAAACACAGAGCGCTATTGAAGGTTAACACAGTTAACAAATCTACTTGCAACACAAAATAAGAGGAATAAGAGGGTTAGGATTTTTCACTTTGCGCTATATAATGATATAGTAAGTAAACAATTATACAAAATACGCAGGCAAAAATCAGTTAATTAAATTAACAATCAAGCAACGGTTAAATGCTGACGTATTCCAACTCAGGTTGTACAACAGTCATGCACCAATACACGAAAACTGGACCATGAAAAAAAAACATGGTGCCTGTTCTTGATATGAATGAATAACTTAGCTACAAAATGCTCCGTCGAACAATTAAGATTGATCTTACGATTTTTACACATAAAATAAAACAGATTTAGAATAAACAAAATAGACGAGCTTACGTTTTCTTTATCTTGTTTTCTTGACATATTTCCGAAGTGGGGCAAACATGTTTTGTTGTGACGCGTTTTTTTTTCGATCAACTATTATCTGAACCGAGACGATATGGGTAATTCCGGTTGCATACGAGGAAGGTGACATTCCATTGCCGCAGAGTGGACCCAGCTAAAAGCAGATACTTCCTGCATGTACAACTCTATATACTTAGGCACCGTAAAACAAACACTTGATTTTACCGCTTTGATTTCATCTTCTGAGGATGTTTTACAATTACTGTGCCTTCATTTTGAATAATTTAGAGGGCAGCTCGTTAGGGACAGATGTACAAGTTCTTGTAAATAGGTTCTTGGTGACATGAATATGAATTACAAATCATGATTCATCAACACAAAAATTTAGAATGAGTAATCCATCAAACATTTAAAAAAAAAAGGAAAGTCTACATTATCACTTAACTAGAAAAGTGGCGGATCCAGAATTTTTTTTTTTTTAAAAAGGAGAGGCTATAAAAATGTTAATATAAACCTAAAATAATTATATCCCGATAGAGAGCATATACATCCCTCTTTTCTTCTGCTCATACTCTGCATATTTTGACATACAAACAACTGGAATGCTAAAAAATGAAATGAATCAACTACAGGGTCGTCACCAATGTGGGTTTGTGGGAGAAGCTCTGGCAGGTATCCACCAAGCCATTTTTTTATGAATGGGTTCCACTTTGATAGGTTCTGGGTTTTTTTGTTTTTGTTTTATTGAACAAAATCTTGCAGCATTATATTTAAACGAGGAACGGATTTGATGGATAGTTAACTTATTATTTAAAAAAAAATGAAAAATGGGTTGCGATCAAACTAAAGACCCCCCCCCCCCTTTCCAACAACTTTGAAAAAAAAAATTGCCATCCGAGAATGCCTTATTATGACTGGATAATTCAATTCTATATAGTTATATATATTAGTTTCACCAAAAAAAGTTCAGTTTTTTTTAGAAGTAATTTCATATAATCCTAATGTAAGGTCTCACACACATCGCACAAATGATTTCGGCTGGCCCCGCTCCGTCTTGTAGATCGTAAATTGGGAGATGGCGGGGTTATGATCGACTGATTATTTTTCCTATTTCAATAACTCCAAGTCAATTTAAGTTAAAATATTTTTAATGTTTTTTTTTATATCAATATAAAATTAAATGATTTTTCACAGAACATGACTAATTTGGGGAAGCGAAGAGAAGTAACTCTATATAATATACATGTAGGTAAAACTTGTTTTTCACAATAGAAAAAAAATCTCTTTAAATGTTGAATTTAATGGATGTTAAAATGTAGGAGGGAATAGAGAGTTAGCGTGCGTAGTTCATATTTTTGTGTGTGTGTGTATATATATATATATATATATATATATATATATATATATATATATATATATATATATATATATATATATATATATATATATATATATATATTAAACAAATATAAAAAGAAAACACAAGAATCCTCCGTAAAGCTTTAGCGCTTTCATTAAAAATCTTCAGAAGCTTTACATTACAAAAATGTATACAACGGTAACATAGTAACAATGATTATGACGTTAAACTAAGCGGAACGTTTAATGTCTATATTGTGACGTCATAGATAAAATACTGCAATGATGATGAAAAAGTTCGGGAAAATCATAGGTAGTTTATAAGAGACTATTAAGTTTTGGCTTTAGAATACAAATAAAATGTTTTTCTTTTTCCCGTCTCTGGATATCACTGGCACATCTGAGTTTATAAAAAGGGAAAATGTTATATATATATATATATATATATATATATATATATATATATATATATATATATATATATATATATATATATATATATATATATATATATAAAATATAAAATATAAAAAACAAAGGGAAATTTGGATTATGGATACGTGAAAATGCTTAGAGATAGGAAACAATAAAAATCAAACAGTTATAAACATTGCATTCTTTAAATATAATTTTACAAACATAAACTGTTTATTTTATAAGTGATGTAAATAACATAATGTATCCGCAGATATGTCTTAGGGTTTTTGATGAATGAGTGTACACCTGTATAAGCAAACTAATTTTGGAATTATTGTTATCAAATACGGCATTGTTGTCAATTTTTGTTCCCCACAAATAACTGCAAAGAGTTAAAGATTGTAGAAAGTTTTACAGATATATCAAACATGCAGTAGAAAACATAAAACAGTAACAAGTTCTCGTCCAAATACATGTATACGTGTGTACGAGCCGGATTCCATTTTATTTTTCGACGGACCTTGCTGAACTTAATTTCTTTTTTTTTCCTTTGGAATTATAATTCCGCCCCCAACATGTACCCCTGCAAGCATCCTGTAGGCCAAATTATATTAAATCAAACTAAAACTGTAGGAGGAGTAGCATTTTGAAAGAATTCCACAAAATTTTCTATTTTTAGTAATCATGGCAATACTGTTCATTGAAATCAAACTGATACACAGAATTATTTATTTTAGTGTAGTCTACTTGTGTATCAACTTATATAGAAAATTGGACCAAAACTGTAGGAGAAGTAGCATTTAGAAAAATTGTTTACAGACAGACGGACATCTTACAGATCAGTAGAGCTAAAAAAAGAAAAACAACAAAAGAAACAGGAAAACATTGAAAATGTTGTGATGCCCCTCTGACAAAACAAGACGGTATAATTGTGTGTTTCTTACAAGTAATGCACAATATAGTATTACTCATAACATATTATAATTTGAGTAAAAAGTGTTTTGTTCTGTTCTTATAATTTGCTTTGAAGTGAAAAAAAAAAATAAAAAATAAAAAATAAAAAAAATAAACCAGAAGTCTCTGACGAGACTGTAGCTCTACTGGTTGTATTTACAAAGGAAGATATAAGTAGCACTTGGACTTGAAACTTTGCAACAGCAATAAATAGAATAATGATCCTTGGTTTAGTCTCTTTTGTGGCAAGATTTATTATTATATCAGACTAAAACTGTGGAGTAGCCTTTTAAAACAATTTTACAGAAATTTTGATTTAAGTAACCATGGCAACATCATTCAACAAAATCAAAAAACAATAACACCAATTATGTATCTCTGTAGTCTAATTGTATGCCACATTATACTGAAATCAGACAAAAAAGTGTAGGCGGAGTAGCGTTTTGAAAGTATTTCAAGAAAATTTCTATTTTTAGTTACCATAGCAACACTGTTCATCGAAATCCGAAACTGGTACAGAGAATTATGTATCTAGGTGTAGTTTACTTGTGTGCTAAGTAATACTAAAATCAGACCAAAACTGTAGGGGTAGCATTTTAAAGGTATTTCAAGGAAATTTCTATTTTTAGTAACCATGGCAACAATGTTCATGGAAATCAGAAAATCAATATTAAGAATTATGTATCTTACTAGTTAGTGTAGTCTACTTGTTTGCCAAGTAATACTGAAATCAGACCAAAACTGTAAGAGGAGTAGCATTTTGAAAGTATTTCACAGAAATTTCTATTTTTAGTAACCATGGCAACACCGTTCATTGAAATCAAAAACCGATAAACAGAATTATGTATCTTATTATAGTCTACTTGTGTGCCAAGTTATATTGAAATCAGATAAAAACTGTAGGAGGAGTAGCATTTTGAAAGTATTTCACAGAAATTTCTATTTTTAGTAACCATGGCAACACCGTTCATTGAAATCAAAAACCGATATACAGAATTATGTATCTTAGTGTAATCTACTTGTGTGCCAAGTAATATTGAAACAGACCAAAACTGTACGAGGAGTAGCATTTTGAAAGTATTTCACAGAAATTTCTATTTTTAGTAACCATGGCAACACCATTCATCGAAATCAAAAACCGATAAATAGAATTATGTATCTTAGTATAGTCTACTTGTGTGCCAAGTTATATTGAAATCAGATCAAAACTATAGGAGGAGTAGCATTTTGAATGTTTTTCACAGAAATTTCTATTTTTAGTAGCCATGGCAACACCGTTCATTGAAATCAAAAACCGATAAACAGAATTATGTATCTTAGTGTAGTCTACCTGTGTGCCAAGTTATATTGAAACAGACCAAAACTGTACGAGGAGTAGCATTTTGAAAGTATTTCACAGAAATTTCTATTTTTAGTAACCATGGCAACACCGTTCATCGAAATCAAAAACCGATATACAGAATTATGCATCATAGTATAGTCTACTTGTATGCCAAGTTATATTGAAATCAGATCAAAACTGTAGGAGGAGTAGCATTTTGAATGTTTTTCACAGAAATTTCTATTTTTAGTAACCATGGCAACACTGTTCATTGAAATCAAAAACCGATATACAGAATTATGTATCTTAGTGTAGTCTACTTGTGTGCGAAGTAATATTGAAATCAGACCAAAACTGTAGGAAGAGTAGCATTTTGAAAAATTGTTTACAGATGGACGGACGAGGGACACCTTACTATCGCATAAGCTCTTCTGGTCTCTGACCAGTAGAGCTAAAAATCCCCCTATATTTGTACATGTATAGTATAAACACTATTATGAGATGGTCCCAAAAAACTGTGCATGTACACTGAATTCAGTGTAAGCAACACATGATATAAAAGTAAAGAGTTTGACTTTCAACCCTGTCCCTTAATTGAACTTGAATCCACACAGTCAATGACTAAGGTGACCTAAAATTAGAATTGTGGAGAGACAAACAGTGTAAGAGCACGGCACCAGTAAATCCTATTGGAGTCTTACATTTTTACCAAATAAGAACTGCAGTAGTACTTGTAATGTTCTCTTTGAAAGTGTATTCTTCCCTCAAGCTCCTTAAGTCAGACATCTTGAGCATGTTTGACTGCATACATATTAACATTGAATTGTTCTTAGCATTCTCTTTGGATACACGAAAACATGTTTAAAACAAGAATGTTAATTTATGGACCCCCCCCCCCCCCCAAATATTTTGCATAAATATTTCATTCAATTTTAGTGGGCATGAAAGTATATTTTGTATTGCTTTTTAAAGGGTATCTATAAAATTTAAAGATGAAATAATTTCTATTCTTTCACTGATATTAACAAACTAAAATCCAATTCATAATTTTATTGTCTTTAACTACATGATTTGACATTTTTATGACTTATGAAGCACTTAATTTACAGGTTTTGAGTTCTAGTCTTGAGTCTCACTGCTCTTGTCTTCAGATTTTAGCTTATTTCTAGGCCTGGGCCTGAGACTGGGCCATCATATCAAGTGACTGTAGACTGTTCTGAACTCTTGTGAGATTTTCGCGCCACTGGGTAAGTGTCTGTCTTAGGATCTGCCATTGCTGTCGTCCGAATGTCCGGTGGATAGTGGACATTATAATGACCTTCTTTTGAAGCTGGTCTATCTTGGCTCTTACAGATTTAGTCCTGAGCACTGAAAAAAAGAGAAGCTTACCATTAACACTGAATCTCTGGTAAAGAGCATGTCACCCAGGGAGATAACTTGTGACATCTCCCTCTCATGCAGGGTGACAACTGTGTTGTTTTTCTTTTAATAAAAATAAAATATTGCAAGGGAGGTAACTCTGAAATCTAAAATATTATTTAATGATCCTACTTATTATTAAATATAAATTCTAATGGTGATGTCAAAATTTTCAGAGTATTAAATTAGAGCAGTGGACAGGGAAACACAAAATGTTTGTCTGAAATTTATTCACTCTATTTGATCAAATTTGGATTTTCAAGGAAAAAAAATGGACTGTTAGTAGCGAGACATCAGACATTATTGGTTTGAGAAGAGTTGTTGCATGAGAGTAGGGGTGTCACACTCGAGCACAAATTCCCTTGGGTGAAAATCTACTCAAACCTGAAAAATTGTGATATTTACATGCTGTTTTCTTCCTCTATTCTCAGCAACGACAATCATATCACTATAAACGCAACTGCTCTCAGTATGAAAGCAGTTCATAATTTCTCACACGTGCATGGATGAAACTTCTACATAAATGTACATAATACATGCTAAAGAACATACATATAGGAAAGATTGTTTGAAAAAATAAATGTAGGTTTTCATGCAAATCTCCACTACAAGAAATGAAAACTAGTACTGTTCAAAATGGACAAATACCCCCACTGGTTTTTTTTTTTTTTTTTAGAAAAGGTACCTAAGTCATTAAAGGTATTTTATGGATCTAACAGGTATTCACAGTTTGTTTAAACGTTGGGCATGAAAATTTAATAGCTCATTGTATTTTTTAATGACTGATGAACTCAGCTGCAGCCTACTAAAACATCAAACTACTAATAATTATATTGTTTTTTTTTATTAGACTAAAAAATTCAATTACAAGTATCTGTCATCTTTGTGAGACTAGACACTCTGCAATTTGTTTGCCAAGATTTAAAAAAAAAAAAATAAAATAAAAATATCACATACAATATCAAATTAGTCTTGATAACTTTATACAAAATTAATTTTGAAAATAAAAGACTGGCCAGCCAGTGACTATGCATTTTAATTTGACAGTCTATCAATTGCAATTAAGAGAGTTAAAGAGCTCATCTTTAATTCTTGTGCCCAATATCCAGAAGATATAGATAACATCTGTTTAGGCCTTAGGCATTCACTATCCTATCTCAATACGATAATTTAATGAATTTTGTACGTTTTGATACATAGTACCTTATGTAGGAATTTCTATAAAACGGTAAATAAGGTCTCGTCCAATCTTCAAATACACCCTATCTGAAGAATATTTTTTTTTAAATTTGGGATAAAAATGTGCCTTTCATCCATTTTAGAGCATCTGTATACTGTAAATTATGGTATACTGTAATAGAAACAAGGTTGATTAATAAGGTATGCTGATTTTATTGTCATTATTTTTTTTAATGATGACAAAGACCCATTCAAATATCCCAGTACACATTCCTTCTTATATTCTTACAACATCATGGCATGCAAATATAAGTAATAAACAATGTTATTCGGTGAACATGGTTTTATGAAAAACATTTGCTCTGTGGACATATTTACCATGAAGCCCTAACAGGCATCATGGAACATGTCTGCAGACAATTTTTCATAACACCATGTTAACTGAAAACATTAATTATTTCTCAAATGTCTCCCTACTAAACAGTCCATAATTGCATATCATTATATCCATGTAGCTTGTCTCCTCAATGTTCAGGAGTACAAAAGATAGGTACATTGATCATTAATTTTAATGAACAACTCGCTCAACTGAGACCTAATTCTTGGAGCTCTGGGACATGAATAAGCTAGCTGCTTATTATAATCATGCAAACAATTTGCCTGCTAGATACTCATGATTAATGACAGGAGCCATTAATTCAATTTTGGTAAAGGATTCATTGCTTATAATATACAGTCAAACCTCGTTATCTTGAACTCGATGGGACCAAGAAAAAATTTTGAGATATCTGAGGATTCGAGATATCGAGGGTAAAATACATATTAAAGAAATACATGGTTAGGACTTCCACATCCCTCAGACCAAAGGGAGGTAGAGATCCTGAAATTGAATGAAATTGAAAACTTTTTGTTCCCCTCAACCCATAGATGCTATTGTTTGAAATTGGTTGAAATTGTTTCAGCAGTTCCATAGAAGAAGCCGAAAATATTCAGGACCGCAAGACACACAAAAGATGAAAACAGATAGTACTAAGTAACCCGAGTGGCTCATGTGACCTAACTGGCTATAAAATAATTAGAATTCTATTGTACCATCAATGATGAAGTCTTCAATGTCCACTTCCTCCAGCTGCATCTCCTTCTGAATGACGGCAAACTCGATCTCCTTCTTGTCTTCCGCTAGCTGCACAAATGACAGATACCGCATCTTCCGTAAATTCTGTTCATGGGACAATCCTGTAGTGTGAATCAGATAGAAGTCAAATAGGCAACAACATTACCTAAATTTAAGACTGAAAACACATCCTTTCTTTCTTTTTATACGAGACTGAAGTAAATTTTGGAAAAGAGCTGCAATATTTTCATTAATAAGTGATGCGATACTGTCTGCATCTTTTAATACTACGTGTATAGTATAAAAAAAAAAGGAACACACCTAGAGACTTGACAAAGTCCATGTTAGTCTTGTAGTACTGCTGATATTGTGAAATCTTTCCTGACACAAAAATTGTCAGTAGCTGAAAATGAATATGAAGGAGTGTAGCTCAATTTAAATACTCAAACATGTCAGAAGAGAAATTCAAAGATTTTCTTGTACATGGGGTGAAATGATGGACTGCCATTAAAAACAGTACATCTTGGAATCCATGATTTTCTATAGCATCACTGATTTTTCACATGGCTCTGAAACAGCAATATGAAATTTCCACAATGCATAATGGTTGAAGGTTTACTACAAATTTGTTGCACATTTTGCATTTCTATTTTCTAGAATATCTAAATAAGTTCCGATTGCACACATTTTCAGTAATGAATTTTATTTTTAAAGAAACACTGCTATCTTACGTAGACTTCCGTCTGCTGTTTCATTCCAAACAACTTCAAAATTTAGAAATATATGAGATGTTCATTATTTTTGTATCCCCCACCCTTCAATTCAACTTGTTTTCTTGTTAAAACAGTTAAGATATCAATAGGTATACCAATTCACATGCTTTTTTTTCTTTTTCATTTCATAAAGCTGCAAAACTGAGGTACGAAAGAAAGATTTAAAAACCCAATTTTTTTACCGTACGGTTACCTGCAGAAGGGGGGTTTGGGGGGTTGGGGTTGGTAGTACTTCTGCTATTTACCTGGAGACCACCAATACTCAAAGTGTCAAAATCCCTATACACGTTGCATTACATAGGAAGTCTGTCTTTGGTAATCAAAGTCAACGTTACGCATTTTGTCTCTAATTTTGAGCAAAAAAAAAAAACTTTAATAAATATAAAATTTATTAAATAGGTATGAACATTGAAATTAAAAAATCCCACTTATCAAAATTATCCGGTGTGTGGATTTTTACCACAATTGGAATGTATTCGGTGCCAACAATGTTGTCCAAAATATTCAGCATTTCCAAAGATCCATGTTCACAGATTTGTATTGTTTGTAAGATTTTAATTAAGATCGATCACTATTCGTATTCATATATATGCAAAGATAAAGCATGTGATAATGGAATCTTTCGTTATTCATGCTGTCAATGCTAAATATTTTTCTTATACATTCTATTTTATTTTGTCATGATTTTAATTGGCGGGCTTTGCATTGAGTTTCTGTGCACCCAAATGCAGGATTGACAGGGGCATTACGGTGATTACTAAAATCTAGGCAAAGGCTGAAGAAGGGGCTCAGAAGAATTATTGGTCTTAGCTGCTACCATGGCTATGGGAACTTCGTTCCTCTCCGGATCCAAGTCCCAGGCAGTAATTGAAAAAGATCGAGCCGCTAGATTTTCTTCAAAAAAAGAGTTATATTTATTTTGGACATGGACATCATATCGCTTTAAAATAGTACCAAACAGCAGTGGAGACTGAAAAACAAAATGTCACGAAGTCAAGGTTTAATTTCCTACTCTTAAATATATCAATAAAATGACCAACCAGTATAACAGTGACTTGATTTTTGTTTTAAACCTGAGTCTATATACAAAGCGACTTTTCACATGGTACATGAAAGTATTTGACACGTGACCAGACAATCATTTTCAAAACCTGCAAATTCTGATTATCAGGTAGCACGGGTAGCTGGCCTGTCAATCAAATCAGTAGCTATTGTATTTTCTATGACTGACAAGCGGTATATTATTGATCTTGAATCAGGTAGATTTTAAGGGCGTTAACGTAAAATTGGATGTTTAATTTACAGTATTTGTTCTTGGGGTGAAATGATAACCTCTCATAGATGAAAGGTCATCTTGGAATCCAAGGTTTTTATAGCACCATGATTTTTCAGAAAACCTCATCAAAGTATACTGAAATTTTCTGGGTGCTTAAAAAACAACAAAACATCACTCACATCATGAATGAGTTCCCCCTCCAAGAATTTGACAGGCTTAAGTGAAAGAAGATGATCCATCAGAAATGTGTTGGGGTCACCTAAATGAGTAACGATGCATCTGCAACAAAACAGCATAATAGTAAGTCTCTAGTGTTTATAAAGGCTACAAGAAAAACTCATTGAACAATTCATCACTGATGTATCATCAATTAGCTGTGTGTGTACATACATAACAGGTGTATCATTACTTACCTTTGTGAAGGTACAAAACAGGTGTATCATCACTTACCTGTGTGCATCATCCCTGGCCTGAGATGCATTGTCTTCTGTATAGGTACCTAACAGGTCTATCATCACTTTCGTGGCTTTATCACTGTTATAAAGAGTAAAACATGTTTAATGGTACTTAAATCCCCTAAACTCTATTAACCTCATATATCAATCACATTTTGATTGGATGTTTCTGACATTTTGTATAATGTGCACTAAATGATTATTCAGTAAACATTGATGATTCTGTGAATTGGCCAAAATATCTGAAATAGTTAGGGAGTCGAGGGGCTGACGAAATAAGGGCTTTAGCAAGCCTGAAGTAAGTTTAAATGAACGACGAAAATTGAAGCGCGACAGTTTGTTCAGCAACTTTTACATCCTGACCTGGCTGAATGAACTGCTGCGCCATTGAAAGGAAGTCTGAATCATCCCTACGTTTGTGTTTACCTTACTTGGAGATAAACGCAAACGTTTGGATGATGCAGACTACATGAAACACGGACGAAACAATTTGAATTTTTTACCGAACAAAAATGGAAACCGATGGCTGCAAAAATAGGAAGTACTGAAATATCGGAAAACGCTCATAAATATCGAATTCTTGGATTCAAATTAGCGGAATTCCATTTAATATCAGAACAGAATCATCACTGAGTAAATCATATGATTTACTGAATGATAACGATAAAAAAATACATATGTAAATCTATTTGCTATCCCTTATCATTCAGTAAATCTTATGTATTTGCCTTATCCTACCAACCTCATTCCCGCTTCTATCAAGGCATCATGAACAGATCGCAGCAGGTTCTGTAGCTTTGTGGTGCTTATGTCCCACTGTGACACCCATTTCTTTATCTATGAAAAAATATTAATTTTCTAATCTTCTTTATTTCATAAATTTGACCAAAGTACAAGCAATGATGCAGAATTTCTGTGCTTTTAAATGTAGAATTTACATATAAATACAATCATACTTGCAGTAAATATATAACTCAATACAAAACCACAGTAGGTTGAAACACGTCTATTTCTTTAACAATTACCTGTTCTAAGTCAATAGCTAGTTGTTGTGTCAGATCTGCTTGCTGTGCTAATTTTACCATGGAAACATACAGATCAGCTCTCAACGGAGACCTCTCATCGAGTCCATAAAATAAGTTAGACAACCTGTAATGTGACAAAATACTTATTATTTCATATTTGCATATTTCTCTTAGCTCAGCAAAATGTTCCACAAACGTATAATAGTACTTTATTTATAGAAGGTGACCCGATTAGTGCAAGCACAAGTTTTCCTTGGGGCCTTCTTTATAACACATATACAATGAATACATATACATATATATATATATATATATATATATATATATACAATATATATCACAGCATGAGTCAAGGAAATATAAACACTATAATACAACAAAATAAATAAAATATCAGCTTGTTTTAAAGGCCCATAATCTGTGTGAGAATTGCTATGAAGTATTTAGTTGTTTATTCTTTTAATTACTTTAGACACAGATAATTAAAAATATTTTTTTCTCAAAACCAGTTATCGCATTCTGCTAGAATAACTGTATTTACAATTTTAATCGTAGAGCACCCCTTCTGTCTCCTTGTGGACATTTGACGACTTTCTCACAGAAATGTGTCACAGGTTCAAGCATTTCCTCTGGCGGCAGAACAAGGATCAGCGATATTACACTGTTGAACACCATTTCAATATCTGCAATGAAAATGCTTCATTGTCAATACAAACAACTAGAAATGTATATCATTCCATTTTATATATATAAAGGTATACATATATACAGTTTTACCAAGTTGCATTTATAATACAGTTTCTTTTTTCAATGGTTCAACAGCATAAAGTATCAAGCATGCACATTACTCTTATTGTAAGAAATGATGGGATTTTTAAACTACTACGTGCTATACCAGCATCTGATACATCTTTGGAATTCCAGCATATGTTGCTTGCTTCAATGATGTGTCTTAAATCTGTAAGAATGCCTGCTTCTGCTTTTTCTTCTGAGATGTCAGCACTCAATGATTTGAGGTAGCTTCTTAATTCCTGGGCCTTAAATAATAATTTCACAAATCAAATTATCATAAAATAATCACTCTTACAAGTCTGCTCAAAGATTATTCAATAATAACATTTTTACTAAATTCAAAATAGTTAAATCATGAATGGATTTCAAATTCCATTCTTCACACAAAACAAATGCCTTCAATACTCGTCTATATCATAGGCGCTTGGTTTCAGGATGGTGTATTTTGTGTATTCTAGGCATGTCTGAACACCCTCATTAAAATAAAAATAAAAAATTGCTGAAATTAGCATGTTTTAAAAATATTACATCTATTGAATATAAAAAGAGCCAAGGTACAACAGTTGCCATCTTCGATTTCAGGGGGGTCTTGGTTCACAGATTTTAATCAATATCTACACTTTTCCTACAGGCGACAGGTGAGATCTAGCTTGAAAAATTATTGAAAAATGCTTCAAATGTCTGCCTATTTGAACTTGCTGTATAAGACATGCAGTAAACCAAAAACTTCCTCGATACCTGGCACTGAAACTTAAAGCAACAGAAGAGGTGATTTCTACGTATGTAATACATGTATGTATAGGCATCCCAAAATTAAACAGAAAATCTAGAGAGAACAAGTTTGGTGCAATTTCTGACCTGGTCTATATTACTCCACTCGCTTGTTTTGAATTTTCTGCCATCGGACAAAAATTCAAAACAAGTGACTTTATTAGTCACTCATCTGGGAAATAGGTCAGATCCAGCATCCGAAGTGGCCATCCCTAGGTGCATCATCGATAAAGTTTGGTCAAGGTAGGGCTTATGTTTACTTGGGAATGGACTTGCTCCAAAAACTTTAATCGAGACGCCGACCCTGGGGGTATAGCATAAGCTCATTTCGACTTTGTAGACAAGTCTAGCAAAATTCTAAGACACTTGGAGGTGTAAAAACGTCTATTTCTTCAAGTAAAATGCATTGGATTGGAACGAAACAAGATATTTGTAAGTAAAGTATATACAAATGATTTATCACGTCAGGCTGTTTTAAAAACATCCACAATACCCCAAACCCGAATTTGCCTCAAAAAGATTATCCTACCCTTCCTTTTTTATACATGCACACACTCAATATTTAGGCAGTGTCTATATGCATGACCGTCGTACACTTACTTTTTCATCGGCTATTCGCATGACCGTTGTGTATATAATTTTTCAATGACTATTTGCACAACCATCGTGTATATAATTTTTCATTGACTATTTGCACAACCGTCGTGTATTGTATAAATTTATTAATCAGCTTTTCAGACGACCATTATCTTTTACATAACACCAACTTATTATGTCACACGTTGTTTCGTCCCCAGTTAAGTTCGGCACGCAGTGATTTAACTGATTTAAGCCTCAAGGCATTTTAGTAAGAAAACATTAGAAAAACTTTTTCATAATGTTAATTTATATACTAAAGTGATTATAGATCCAATGGGCCGATTGGTGTAATGTAAGTCTGTTTCTATTAGAACTACCCTTGTATTTGTATATATACTCGTCACTATCATATAAATAGTGCACATTTTTGAGGGTAACAGTTGAAATTGACACCCCAAGGAAAACCATTGTCAACCCACGCGTAAGCGGAGGTTGACAATAGTTTTCAGAGGGGTGTCGATTTCAACTGTTACCCTCAAAAATGTGCACTATTTATTTTATTATACTGAATGTCTTATTGATTTCGGATGTCATAAGAAAAATTCGGAGATCGTCGTTAAGTTCACGCTTAGAAAGCTTTCAAACTCGCTGCTTCTATTTTTCTCAATAAGAAAGCTTCGGAAAAGATTTACCAACCTCTTTATTGTTTGTTTACTACTCAAAAAGTCCTTTATCATCTAAAGTTTGCACTCGCAAGGATGTTTCGTCTGTCGTTTGTTGTTTTCAAGTAAGCTACATCGGACGCAAGCTTTTATTGACGTCGTTTATTCGGCTTCTTTCAAACGCACAACTGATGTTTAGAGAATTCTACGGTGAACCGTACGCGCATGATTTGAACGCATGTGACATTTTCGCAATGTTACCCGTTGTCAAGTGTGTTGCTAATGCTGAGGGTAACATTATGGATTGTTAAATGCGTCTAAACCAATCAGATTTTAGTATTTAACATGAAAGTATAATAAAGCAAAATGTTTACCTACTATTTTGGTAGGCTTGTGGTTTACCCCCTCCACCTCAATCTAGTCCGAAATATCTGACATTTTCCAGGCTCTTTTTTTTTTTTTAAAGCGATTTTGATATTTGATGTTCCTGGAAAAGCACGTCAAACTAAATCCCACCAATTAAAAAGAGCCATAGAACATTGGATAAGGATTTTTCCTACTCTAGTAGTGATTTCTTAAATACACTTTTTAACCAAAATTTTGTCATACAACCTTAGTTATTACACACGCGTGTAATCACAAATTAAACAATAATGATATTCATATGTTAATACATATTGTAGTTCCCTTATATAATAATTATAAAAATCATCAAGTTTGTATGGAGTATGTAGTAAATATTGAGGTATATCTACCTAAATGATGACAAACTGTTGACAAAGACCACTCCTAACCAGAAAAACAACATTTGAATAATTTTGTGTATGACGGCACTTTATTTTGGTTAAGGTGAACATCTTCTCACATTATTTTAAGATTTGGCAATCTGTCTTAAATTTATCATTCATTATCAATGACTTCGTGGTGCAGTGGTATGATTGCTGAAATGTAAATTTTATGTGGTGATTTGAGTTCGACCTCAAGATTTTTCCAGTTGTGCTCTTTTAATTTTTTTTCTTTCATGTGTATTTTTTTTAATACGTTTTATTTAATACTTTTATAATAAACATAGTTTCAGAGAGTCATAATATACACATTACACTTTGAAAGTTTCTTGGGAAAAGACAGTTCTAAACTATTTCATTAAATTTTGCATAACTTGTTTTATTTTTATTTGAGTTCCTAAATCTTTTGTCCCAAAATTAGAGTAATTTGAACATGTAAAATGACTGTTATATGACATACTTGCAACTATGAAAATATAACACTCGTCCGCAAATGACACTACAAATTGGTTGAAAGTACTGATCACGTTCAATTATTTATGTCATCAATTTGGTCATCAATATATCATCGAAATTCCATGGCAGACACTGTGTGGTTAAGGGCCGAAAGGGTATATAGGAGGATATAACCCAGTAACCCCCCCCCCCCCCCCATCATTGCTAGCCATGTGTGAAAGTTAGTTTCTACCCCAGGTGATCTGCACATCTTCCCTTTCCAATTTTATTTTCGTTTCTAATCTTCATTATTATTTTTTTTATAGATTTGTTTTCTTTTTGTAGCTAATACATTGCTTCATCTACATTTTTATGGAACTGATAGAAATTATATTACGATTCGGTTGCATTCTTCGGCACACTTGAATAGCTCATAATATACCCATCCTCTAGCTGGTGCGTCCATATATTTTATACAGTCATGTATGTAAAATAATCAAAATTATCCACAAAATCTGTACCGTAAAAAGAGAGGGGTGTGAAAGGAAATGGTTGTGGGCCTTAATATTTAATTCAGTTTCAAATAGAACTATGTAAATGAAGTAGTTTGTAAATTTCAAGTATGAAAAGAATAGAAATAGAAAGACTTTAAAGAAATGAGAGAGAACCATAAAGGGGGCAACAGGTTTGAACTTAACTAAAATTTCCACTAGCCATGTGGGCTCCTAAAGAAGATGGGTGAACAAGGCGTGCAGAATGCCTATAGGTTCAGATATTAATAAAATCATATTCAATTTGTGAATTAAGTATTTAAAATAAAGTTCTCATTATTGAAATTTATGAAATTATGATCAACAAAACTTTTCTGAGAAAAAAGATCTCGGAAAAAATTATTCTTTTATTAAAAAAATAAAATGGTATTTGTGGGATTCGAACCCCTATCAATAAAAATCCGGAGTATCATATTGTTTTGAGACTAACACTCTAACCACTATGCCACGCAGCTCCTGACAAATAGTGGCATTTAAATTATGTTTGTGATATTGACCCTTGACTTAATGAACTTCAAGTATTTCTCGGAAAGATGCGAATGCTTTGTCATAAAAGTGTACTTTTAAGGTATAGTGGGTCTTTGCTCTATGTTTTTGTAAACCAAAAAATGTATATTTTTATGCAAACTTTTAGGATCAACTTTCAAAAAATGGAGTGAAGACCCACTCATATCGAAAAATTTTGTTAAAGTGTGAGAAAATGATCCTTTTTGTCCTCTTTAGTGTGTGTATGCTATTTCGTAGGCAAATAATTTCAGTCTTTGTGAGATTTTTGTAAATTGTAGAGATTTAGCATAAAATATACTTTAATGTTAGATGAAATATTAAAGAAAATTTTTATATAATTGAGATTTTATTTTTCACTTCATGTTTGTCGCACTATAGGCACTTCGCCCGCCTTGTTCACCCATCTTCTTTCAAATTTAGGAGCCCACAGCTAAATTTGTTAGCCCACAAACTTTGTAATTATTTTTTAACCCTCTGAATACACTTGGACAAAAGTAGATACTAATTGAATATAAATACCTTTGTATAAAATGAAAATTGAAGTTCTTACTTTTTAAAATCAAATATCATATAAATATTTAATCATAGGAAATGAAATTGAATTCAATAAACTATTTTACTACCCATGTTTACAAGGTAATATACGTAGTCCCCTTTTCTGGTCATTGGACTATATAGCCTACTGATGAAGTGACACTGACACATGAATAAAATTTTTTTTCTTACTTTAAATATTTTTGAAACGTATCTGAAATAAGTAGGCACCTAATAACACTTCCTATTCATATGATTGAGTAATTGGAAATAATTTAATTGGATATCTACCACGTATCAACCATACACAGAGGAATGGAGGAAATTCAGATTACCCCCCCCCCCCCCAAAAAAAACAATTGTTTTAGGGATTTAACAAATTATGTATTGCTGGTAAATGGATTAGATGAAGGATATGTACAAACAATTGGACCATGCTACTTTGATTTATTTAATTGATTGGGCGTTTTAAAGCAAAAACCTGAGAAAAACGTCTGTTTTTCGGCAAGGGGACTGCATGGGAATGAATTCTGGTCCTGCAGTTTTTTAATTCGCCACTTGGGCGAACAAGTTATAAATTTTATGAGCCCACACCAAATTTTACTCGCAATTAGCGAGTGGGCAAGTGCTAATTTAAGACCCTGGGCAAGATCATGTGTCCCAGTCTATAGCCAGACTAAAACTGATGCAGTGTGGTATTTATGTCCCCATCCTGTTTCTGAACTTTTGTATTTTACAATTCAGATAGGGGATTGCCTACAAAAGTTTTCTTTTTTTTTTTCATCTGAAGTTGGAGTATGGATCTTACACAGGTGTCAATCCCTCATATATTTTACATTTTTTTTAACATGAGATAAAATTGAAAAAAAAGTTGAGGTAATTAACTATCAACATAAATGTAATACATGTATTTACTATCGTGTGAAACAATCAATTACTTGCATTTCTATTAAAAAAAACTCAATGAAAAAAAAAAAGATTAAAAGATTAAATGTACACATAAAGCCAGAAACGGACTCATCTCATTCTCACAATGTCAAAGTTTAGTGATTTTGGAACTCCACACAAATCTGATCGGGATCGGATCTCTTTAAATTATCAATTAGTTTTATTTTTATTTTACCAAATTCTTGCTAATTTAATGTGTGTAAAAGAAAAGAAATGTCCGTTCACAAAAACATTCATTTAGTAATAGTATTTAAATGTCAAAAAAATGTTGACATGAATGTTCATACTGGGGTCAAATTCTATAACAAACAACGTCATGTCTTCGAGCACAGGTCGGTCGTGTATATATGCATAATAGTCCAATCCACACTTTGCAAAAGTTGTGTCCCTTTGCAGGGTCAACCAAAAGGTCAAAAGGGAAAGAAATGACATTTCTCCTCTTTATGCTACCAAACATTTGGGCGTGCTCCGATAAATCCACTGTGTTTAAATTTTTTTCTTTCGATATGGGTAGCCCCATCTTGGGGCAATCAATATACAAGATGCACACATTTTTTTTCCAGTCAAATGACAAAGTTACAAACTAGAAAACTACAAAGGCTACTGTGAGGATTCTATAGGTTTTCCCCCAAAGATGGTGGCCAAGGGACATAACTTGAAAAGTGTGGATTCAACTATAGCTATTACCGTCGTGTGCATATCTCTGGCAATGTGCAATTGCTATTTGCACGACCGTCGTGTAAATAGATTTTTTTCTTACCTATGTGCATGACGGTCGTTAGTTAGAATAATCTAACTGTGTCTCGGGACAAGCCCTCACCACAGTTAGAATACGTTCCATATACTTGCAATGTAGCAAATCGGAGTGGATCCACTCCGAAATGATTTTGAAGAATACAAAAGGAATTGCATTGAAAATAACTACAGTGCGGACTCGTTATTACGGTGACGGTTTTATAAGATAGAACGCTTATTACGTTGTAAATTCAAAGCACAAAACCATTTCTTAGCAAATCTATACAAAATAGAACCGTTTATTACGATGTCCTAAAATGCCGGGACTCGGTATTACGATGTAAAAATTCTGTCCAAATTTTTTTTTCACTCCGTGTTTATTCAGTGTTGATCGACGGTAGCCACTTAAGGAGAGGCTAAATAAACATTGAAACACCTGTGCTCTGACAGAGTGTTAACTTGCAGCGCCGTTAGGTGATTAGTGACGCTTGACTGCACACACCTTGACTGTTCTAGCGAGGTCAGCAGAACTGGAGACATCGTGTCAAAGCCATTGTTAAACAATTAAATTTAAACTGTTTATTTATAAACGTAGTCTCTAGTTTATCTATGTCTGTAAAGTTTATTTTATCTTTTATACTTTGGTTAATGAATAAAATTAATTTATTAAATAAAAGGTTACATTCAATCTTGTGCATGTATGTTAAACACGTATTGTGTAATTTCGTTTGCAATTAAATTGCGGTAATGGACAGCTTGGGTATCAAACATAATTTTGGCCAAATTTGAACTTCACTTACGTTTTAACAGCTTTGATTGTGGCTTGGACTACCTCACAGGTGTCAGCAGAAATACAAATCGATAATTGCTGAACTGCTAATTGAGCTCTGTTCAGTAATTTAAGAAATTAAATTTATTTTGACATATAGCTTGTACGTCAAATTCCATCCTTAAATATTCCAGTCACACTCTTTCATCAGTTGTTCACTGCTGCTCTAAGCTCATTGAACACCCAAAAGCTCACTAAAAATTGTTGTTGCTATGTAGTAAACGACTATAAATTGAATACGAAGAAGGCTTGTTGAATTTTTTACGAACGCATTATCTACAGAGTCAGAAACGAAAGTAAAAGTAAGGAAATGGCGGTAGATAAATGAAGATCTGATAGATCGCGGAAGTTTTTATAAGAAATATACGTATTTCTTTTAAAATGAAAGAAATAGAAGAAATATCACCATGAAGATATCTATTCAAGATAAGTTGTTAATAAATTATATATGTATTAGTGTTTTGATTAGGAATTAGAACAGAAGAAGGGAACAAAAGGGCAAAAATACACCTTCCACAAAAATAACAAACTTTCAAAACGATGTTTTAATGGATTTTATTGGGAACTTTTATTACGTTGCCCTCGGTATATTTTCCCGTGACAAAATGAACATCGTAATAACGAGACCGCACTGTACCAAATTAATAATAACAAACCTTTTTGAGATAATCTTTGTCTTTTAACCTAAAAAATAAGCCATATAAATATGAAAATTCAACTAATTTTCTCAACGTTTTTTCCTCGCTTCAAATTTAACGCCATGTTGACATTCGAAACTCTCTGGATTCTTCATAGAAAATGCACAGAGTACGAGTTATCGCCCGTGTTTATTTTGCAACATTGCCAATACATGGAACGAATTCTATTGTTAAACCGGGTCCATAGGACAATATCATTTTAACGATAGAACGTTCCATCTAGATGGTCGTATATATATCTCAGCAATTTGCAATAGCTATTCACACGACGGTCGTGTAAATAGACTTTCTTTTCTATGCGCACGACGGTCGTGTATATATCATCGGCCCAATATTTACATTAACTTCCAGTGCCAGTGTCTATTGGCAAGCAAAATAAAAAGATAATGTGCAATTTACAATAAAGTCAGATTAAATTTTAAAAATAATAGTTGAAACAACTCTTAGTGCAGCTTAACAAAGACAAATAATTCATAAATGAAACTGTTATGCAGTTTGTATAATAAAGCTTAATTAGAGGACCACATAAATATTCAAGACCGAGGAAATTCGAGTTCCGTACAGCCAGCTGTTTTTGATTTTAAGTTATGTTCATAGGGAAATACTGTAAAATCTTGGCGTAAAAAAAATTATCCATATGTGCCACGAACATAAAAAATAGAACAGTATGGTGAAAATCCTTTGATACCTGTTCAGGAATAGGCAAATCTATGAACACCGGCGTACTCATGCCTTCTCGTGGTTCCAGCGAGACTCAAAACGAGGGTTGTCTACTTCCGCCAACAACCTTGTCAGTGTTCTGAATAAAAACAACTAAAACTTCATCATCTTATTAAATGTTTTTAAATCAAATTATATACTACAATTAAAAATATGACTAGTATGTTGTATGAAGAGACGTGATAATTAAAAAGAATCGGAACATAGCTTAATACACGCGTCAAACAAACCGGAAGTCGTTGGTCCATGTGTTTTATCACATTTTCTTGCATCACCATACCAAATCAAATACATGAAGCGGTAAGGCTTTTGTCCCAAACACGATCTTCAATCACACTTATGTTCGTTTCAGTTGAAGGGTTGATTGTTTTGTCAAATTATGAAGTCTGTTTATGTCTAAATATAGGTCCTTTTTGAGTGAAGACATTAGCAGAATAGTTTCACTTTCTGTTCCCACAAAGACTCACTTATTAGTGATTTTCTTTCAGAATATTTAATAGTGTATAATATTTATAATGTCGGTCATCTCAAGGAAAAGTTGTTAAAGTCCATCTCTTACTTGGTGACATATTAGTGTTGTTAAAACACTTGATTGAATAGTTTATGTCTGAAATATGGCAAGTGTTAAAGTAACAGTGTCTATGCATTAATTTATAGTCCAAGTTCTTAATATAGGATGTTTAATAAATGCACATATTGAATGTATTGTAAGGTATGGTATAAGTTGTCCTTTTTAAAAGCTTTAGTCTAATGGTTATAACTTTTAAACTTGCTAATTAATTGAAGGAATACAGACTATATCATAAAATAACATATATTTTGTAAAGCCATGTAGATTAAGATATATATTTAGGACAGCAGCATTTATATTTGTGAAAAATTATTTATTTCTTATTAGTATATTTTTTCACTCAAAAGAAAAAGAATCCTGAAGATATATATTTGGTGAACTTATTATATATAGTCCATAGATCTCCAGTACTGGGGTTAAAACAAAACAACATTAGACACTTGATCCTTAATTTAAATGCCCTTGTTTTTAAGTACAACTAATTAAATGCACTTTACTTTCTGTTTACCATATCTAGCATTGGTTATGGAATTAAAGCCAAATCAGCTCCTTTTCCCATGACTTGTGTGTTTTCCATGTTTTACTTTCATTTTCTATGTACGTGTATTATGATACATTGTTGCATCATGTCTACAGTCTTCCTAGAAATATATTGATGTCAGTCACAATTATATTCTTTAAGTATAAATTGGAACTCCCTAAGCCATTTAAATCAGTAGTTCTCTTAACAGATCTTGGTGGGTTTTACTTGGAAAGGGAAACATTATTGTAGAATTTTTTCTGTATACTGCTGTTTTAAGTGCTGGAGGAAATTTTTAATATATTCAGGTAGATTATAATTCTTTTATTTATTTTAAACAAGATTTTTTTCTGTACACTACTCTTTCTTGAGAAAATTTTAATATTCATGTAGGTTGTGATTCTTTATATTTATTTTAAACAAGAAAGAGCTGCAAATTTAAGTGATTGTATCAATTTATACACTAAATGTATATAGTATTTCAGGAATAAAGAAATTAAAAAAAAAAAGATGTATATAATATTTAGCAATATATATGGTCAATCAACAAAAGGATGTTAAGTTTTACAAGTACCATTAAAATATTTTTTTATAAATACATTCTGATTGAAATCAAATGTCATTCATATGCCTTGCTAATTCACTTAGAAATTGTGATAAATTTAATTTAATATTCAATACAGATTGTTAAAAAAATTCTTTTTAAATAATGTGCTAGCTGACATTGACATAATTTATGATTGCAGAGTGCATGGTTATGTATTTTCATTCAATTTTGACTGGAGGTAATGCTTCCATTTTAATGTGCCAAAGAGCTGATGCTTCAGGTGTCCATTAGTCCCCTCCCCCTCCCCAATAAACAAATTAAAAGTAGAGACTTCAGATGTATATGTACTGTAGTTCTGAGAGTAGGTAGAATTTGATTATCACAGAGTTAAGGTCATAGAATACTCTATTCCTGTATATAATATGTTTTGGTATACTGTAAAGAAGATATATAGATGATTGTACATATAATCATTGTTTTTCTTTCCAGAATGGCACTGAATGGCCATTATTAGATCATTGTTTGGTGTATTATTAAGAACATCAGTTGTTACTGAGGACGTCCTGACTTATTCGCGATTGACCCACCATACAGTTTCTTACTTTACTTCAACCAATCGGAGAGGAAAACAGAATAATATGACTTGTGAGTATACATGATTCAAAAGATGGAACAAAAACTGCAGTTTGGAAATTTTATCAATCAGAAATGATAGGGAAAAAAGATAAAAATATCAGTCTTTGTTATTTTTCTTTGTCAAAATCTGTACTAGTTTTATTAAACACTGTATTTACCGGGGGTATATTATATGTACTTTAATCACCTGAAGATTTGTTAATCTTGTGGTAATTTCAAGTGTTTTTTTTTCTCCATATTTTTAAGCTTTTTTCAGCAAATGTAATACATGTATTATGCACAGTTCTATATGCAATATCCTTAAAAATGCTTCAATCTATTTTTTCAGCCAAATCTAAGAAAGTTCAGCCCCCATGGAAGGTACCTGAGGGAACTGAGGTCCCCAGACTGAAGCTTTATAACAGTCTGACAAGACAGAAGGTTTGTACGCTATACCAACACTAAAGACAATCTTAACATTGATCAACAGCAGGGTCACACATGGGCTGAACCAGACTTCTGACTGAAGATATGTTTATTTATTTTTTTCTAGCATGAATTCATGCTTTAGTTAATAAGTCTCAAAAAAGGAAAAAAAGAAAAAGGGTTGAGACATGTTGTTGAGCCATTTCTGTCGTGGCACACAGAACTGGACAACCAACATGTTGAGACTGAGGAAATTAAAAGTGTATACGCCCATGCTGTGACAGTTTACTCTGTACTTTTTATTTTCTGTACCTGTACATGTATAACTAGATCCAGGTTAATAAGCAGGTGGAGACAGGTAAGTAATTTGTGTTTAGATTCCCTGAAGACATCAGACTTTGAGGAAGCTGTACATGTATTCTGGTTCTAAAGGAGTTGCTTGGATCCCTCCATTATGTCAGCAATACCAAAAGGAAATTATGACTATTGTATCAAGACAAAGAAAAGATTCCAAGCCATTGAGGAGTATCCAAGTTTTCCATCAGCCAGGTATGAAATTATTACTGTGTAATGTGTACACCTAGGAGTTTGTTAACATGCTATTTATGAAACAAGCTTTACCACAAAAAAGGTACATGTATCTTTTAACTATATAAGATTATTTTCACTCTGATCAACTCTTTTATAAATCAGGATTGACCATATTTAAACTACTGAAGTGAAAAAGTTTAGTTTTTAACTACATGAATAATGATGTTTTGCATGTACATTGTATTCAACTGCTGTATGGGGTTTGAGGAATTTGTTTTACAACTTAGTATTTACATGTACATTTAACTATTTTAACATCAAGTGAAATTTAGCTCACCTAGACAAAGTGCAAATGAGCTTATGCTATAGCCCCCACTATGGTGTTCCAGTTACAATTTTGGCAGAAAGTCCTTCCCAAGTAACTCAAGCCTTAACTGAACCAAACTTTCATGGATAATGCATCCAGGGATGCACTCTACCAGACATGCTTCAGATGCTGCATCTGACGTACTTTTTTTTTTATGGATGATTGACAGGTACAAGTTTTTGTTGCAGTCCATTCCAAAGTAATTATAAGCCTACCTGGACAAAGCTTGCTTAGGTGTTGCATCTGGGTGCATACTAGGGGTGTAACAATACCAATATACTGATATACTGTGCAAAGCACAAAAAAATTATACTGTATCACGGAACAAAAACTGCATACCTATGTATCAGGATAAATAACATTTTAAGATAATAAATTTAACATTTTAATTTATGCTATTTCTTTTTAGTTTTACTTAATAAAAGTGATTTTCCTTATTTATTTATTTTACGCTGTTTTTATTGTGGTCAGAGCTTATTAAACATTATATAATGTTTTTAATGTGAACTAAAGAAATAATCTACAATTTTTATCCTTTCACATTGTGTTAAAGAATTTCTCATTTCAGAATAAAGACACACAAATTAAAAATTTTATTAAGTGGTATTGTTACACTCCTACTACACTCCTCTAACTATTTTTAGAATTGGTAATGAAAGAAAGAAGTGCAATAAAACAAAATAGTTCCTAGACTTGCAAGCACCAACTTGCTATCAGTATATAAAATAAGTAGGCCAGCTTACATATAGAAGCTTGATATTTATGAAAGAAGAGAAAATTCCATTTTGAAAACCATTTTTGGTTTTGAGATCGCTTTGAAAGGAAAGGAATGGAGTTGGTTGAGGTGTACCCAAATTCCCTACTTTTACTTTCATTTTCAGATGTTTTTGCAAACATGTTTTGCCGGAAAACAGATCTGATGTGCCCTCAAGATTTTAACCATGCAATGAGAGGAAATTGATGAGCTTTCATTTGAGGGATGCCTCATTGTTCAACGAAATTTAGGGATGAAGTTATATGAGAAAATGTTAACACTCTTGCCTATGTTGCCTATAATTAGTGGACTGTATCCATGGATCTAGGTATGCTACCAGAACATTCATTTGGTCAGACTTTGATTTTCTACTCTGCTTGTGCTAGGGTTCATTGTCTATCTGTTAAAGCATCCATGTGGCTTTAATTGGTTCCTGCTACCTCTGCATGTATATTTTTTGATGAGATATATTTGTATAAATTTTATAATGTAGTTCAAGGGGTAAATTTTTGCAGAAAATACTGGTAAATAGCATAAATGTATATCATTACACTGGTTTCCCACATTTTGAAGTTTGTGTGACCCCTTACCTTTGTTCCTTATCAATATTTAGGTTTCTTCACTCAGTTATTTTTTCACTCCTTTGACTGAAAAAGTTCTAGTTTCAACTAAAACCAACCAGCCACGCAGCAATAAGTATACAGTAAAGCATCTTGAGAGAGTTTATCTTGAATTAGCTTTTAAACCAATGTCGATATGGTAAGAGTCAACTAACATCATTCAAGTAGTCAATGTGTGTCTTTATATATGACGTTGAACTCCTCTAAGCTGAGCAGTTAATCAGTACAACCTTCCCTTTTTTGCTTACTTCCACCCACCAAATTCTTGATCCACCATAGATTTTCCCCCAAATTAATCTCGAGGTCCATCAGAGTTTACCTTATTCTTGTTTACATTTAGAGAGATGAACAACAGCAACAAAAATAGATTTCACCTTTTTCCTCTCAGATTGAAGCCAAGAACACAACATCTTGTTAGCGTAAATTTTTTTAATGTTTTTTTTAAGTTAAAATGAACAAAATCTTACATACTTGTAGGATTTCATGTAAGCTTTACTCGTTGAAACACCCATTCAAGTTCAAAATTAATTTACAGGTGATTAAAAAAAGAGGCAATCATTGACGTATCTGATCACATCAGTTTATATCAACAATGTTTGTCTATAATCTCTTGCAATTCAGTAGAAACTCAAAGCACAAGTCACACACACCAATGTTTTTCACCATCTGAATGTCACACACATTTACACGTTATGAGATTCAATAATGTTATCACAAAACATATAAACATTTAGTCTGAGTGGTATATGAGCATATAATGACCTCCTCACTATGTTCAAATGAAGACACACGTGTACTCACTGTAAAGTATTTAACATCTCAACAAATCTCACACACACACACACAAAAACAGACAATATGTACAGGTACATATATAAGGCTTAAGTCTGGGTCTAGGAATTTGCAGAAAGGTGCATTTAAAAGTGAAAGTAAGCACATCAAGATCGTATTTGCATTTACAAATTACATGTAAACAAAAAAATATATATATTACTAAAGTTTGAAAATGAAGTATATGGAATGAAGTTAAAGATAGGAGACAGGGAATTTAAACAAAGGGAATGAAATTTAAAGTAGAGACTAATGATTTTGTTATAGAATCATGATGATTGTTTAAGAATGCACCAAATTAAATTCCCTCTTATCAAAGAAATCGTACTTTGAATTAAATCTTCATATTTTTACAACTGTACAGGAACATTATAGAAAAGAACAACAGACATTAAAGGAGAATCAGACATTTGAGATAAACTTTATATGTGCTGCAAGGCAGAACATCACTAATGGTAAGTAAAAATGTACTCATATATTGAGGATATTGTCTGGGCACCTGCTTCTATTAAGTTTCCCTAGAAAAAATAAAATACATGCAGTAGGAAAGAATGACCCCAGAAAATATATCTAAAGTTATATTTTCTAAATTAAAAAATTAAAAAAAGAAAATGAAAAAAGCTTGTACAAAATTTGCTGTGAAGTTTTTGCAGAGCTTGCAGTGCTGTTTGTGGAGGTAAGGGTTATTCCCCTTAGCTCAGTAAAGTTCTATGAAAATCTACAAACTAATATCACAGTATTATCATTCATGATATTCTCATGTCATCATTTACATAAAGATGTTACACAGGTTTACAAAAAATTAGAAAAAAACCTCTCACAAATGTAGTAAACATAGAGTAAAATGTACAGCTATGTATGATTTTCTGCCAGTATCGACACCTAAGTTGACCATCCCTATAATAGAAGATTAGTTATCTCATAAATTTTAGTTTCAAGTCAGACACCACTTTTATGGAGATTTAACATTGTCTTAGATTATATTATAATTTAATATATTAGTCAATGTTAGACACTAAACAGCCAAGTGAAAAATTGTGTAAAACTCAAGTTTAAATGAAACAACATAGCTGACAAGTTCCAAGTAAGATTTTCTTCCCGAAAGTTAACGATTTTGAATTATACAAAAGAGCTATATTTAATAGAAAGTCTTTTTTTCTCTAATGTTCAGATAAACTGCCAGTACTTGATCCTTAGTGCATACTTATCAGCCAATAAAGCATTTTACTGTTTATTTTTTAACTTCAGAATCTATATCAGTGATTTAATTGTTCATATTATTAGTCTAAGTTAAATAATATATATTCCTAATGTGTTAAACTGTACTGCTTATTTTTAATTGATTTTGAATGCAAACCTCTGGTTTGGTAAGAATATAAATACAGCTGTAATTAATACCCGGTACACATGAAAATAAGTGAAAAACAATGAATTCAGTTGCTTTATATTCTACCCAGGTTATTCCAAATAGAAATTACAACCTTATAAATATACAAGGGAAATATATTAAGTTCTTCAATAAGAAATCAGATTTGACCCCCAGCAGGTATTTAGCAAATTCTGTGTAACACATTTATATTGAGCAGATTTTATTTTGTGTTTTAAAAATTGGATTGAAAAATAAAATATAAACTCAGATTAAATGTAAATACTTATGCTATACATTTAATACAATAAAATTTGATAAAACTGTCCATAAAATACAAACAAATAAAAACAAGCACACGCTACATGTGTCTTTAGTTGCAGAGTTTATCCCCGAATTCTTTTTGGGCTGAGGAGGTTGAATAATATTGGAGCCTGGATTTTTGCCAAAGTTGACTTTATTGTCAGGATTATCACCACCATTTCTTCTCCTTTCCTCGTATGTTACTGTGGTGGTTTTTTGTGGCACTGGTGTGGCTGACGGGGTACACCGCATGGTAGTCTTGTTGTGGCTCTGAAGCCAAATGTGGATTCCAAACACTCGGAAATTTGGGTTGAGCATGCAAGGTGGTAGTTGATTCACATCAAATATAAACTGTAATAAAACACACATGTATATTCAGTTTGTAGATATTAACATTTACAAAGTGACAATAAAATACTTGATTTGAATCAGTTTGCATTACAATACACTTTTATTTGTTGACTTACATAAAAAGTTTTAGGTTGGAGCTGATACCAGTCCAATATAGAATTAGGGCCTTCATATGGCTGACCCTGGAACGTCCATCCAAACGCTCCCAATTTCCCCTCACTATCGTACATCAGAAATACGGGGTATAGTCTCTCACACTGCATGTCTCGTGAAATATTAAAAAAATAATGGGTACCTGGGGAAAAAAAATATCAACATGAAATAGAATCTCTGTTGCGAATGGTTACATTATTGAATGAGACAAGAGTAGCTTCTGATTAAAGGAATGAGGACACTTTGATTACAGTTTATAGCTGCTGAAAATCTTTTAGACATTGCGTTATCTATTGAAATTTTTAAAAAGAAATTCCTGTTGGATCATTACTAGACGGACATTTCAAATTCCATGAGTAGATGTGATACATCGTATTCTAGGAAGTCTGCTTATAGTAATAAATTTGATGTCAATCTTAATTAATATTAAATTTTTAATTTGATTACAGGTAAAAATGCAGAAAGGAATGATCAAAGCTAAATCTCCTTCTGAAAAAGAGACAAGGTAATTCTCATGCATATTAATTAACCCTCTTCCTTTGATCAGAGTTTTATGCAGGTAGCATGGCATACAAATCTGGAGATAAATGGAATCCCAGAAATTCCAAGGTTCTCCTTCAATAGATACTTTACACTGACAAGATTAGTAGGTAGATAAAACTGATGAGCTTGTGTATCTCATTTGATATATTCATCTACAGAATAGTCTTGTTAAAACTTTAATTTGAGACCTTTTGAAGTTACGAGAATGGATTTGGAATAACACGTATTTAACATGTTTTCCTTTTATGTTGATTTGCATTTACATAAAAAATAAAATCTACACTTGTATCCTTAAACAGACCCGAGTTATTCTCTTTCATTTAATGACAGCAGTCTCCATAAAAATTTCATTTACTGTTACATTAAGCACTAAAACAAAATAAAAGTGCTCTGTAATGTGAATATTAAAAATTAATTGTGCATTTGTTTGAGCCTGCACATGTTACTGGTGGATATCAATATTATTACGAATGTGTCATTATGAGTCAAATCTAAGGTCATTAGTGTATCATGATGGAGAAACAAGGTGAAATCTCCTCTCCTTTGTCATCAGATCTGATCTCTAATCGAGTGGAGACCCTGATCTGCTGGTCCTAACAACTTGTAAACTATAGCGTAAACTCAATCATCATTACTACCGTTTGCTTTGGTTTTATTAAAAGATAATCATCAATAGAAGAATGGGGAATCAATAGCAGACTCCATTGTGAGTTCACTCTAATGAACCCCTGACATTGGATAACTCAGGATTTCTATCAATTAAAATTATCTGCAGTGTGGCTCAAGTATTTCTCTTGAAAATTTAAAAATCAATTTAAAGCTTCTTTAAAAAGTTACCTGCAATTTACTGAGTTACAGAAGTGTGCTTTGGATTTATTATAATCCAATATTATAAAATAAATAAAGCTATAATTTATATTCATTCTCAAAATTTAGTTGAAAAAATTGAATTAATGGGAAGTCTTATTTTTTTACTTGCAGCTTCTTTGATTTCTATCCGAGTCATCGAGAGAGAAGATGACAATTGTCATAGCAACGGTTTCATCTCTCAGAAAGAATACGGTTGATAGCGTTGATGTCATATCTCGGCGTTGATGTCATATCTCGGAAGAAGAAGGATGATTAGAAGATGATCTCAGGTAGCTGCTCACATATTTACCCAAATTATTAATGAGATATACTAATTACTGTAGCACCTCCAGAGACAAAAACAAAAATATTATTCCATACCACCTTAAGCTTACAGTACTTATCTTCTTGGTTTCATTTTTTTTTTTCACTGCATGTTCTACCCAATACTCATAAAATGTTCACAAGCACACATAAAGTTAGATTTATGATGATATGTTGTCGTGCCTGTATTACATACATCGTGCGAGGTGGAAATTATGGGGGATATACGCTGATTATAGCAAGGAGTTGTCTGACAATTAAAAGGGTGACTGTTGATAATGCTCCGAAGAAGGAAAGCTCTGTTACAAGACATCAGCTGGAGTTCAGTAAATAATAAATGAAAAGAAAAACATAAAAATAACCTTGTTTTTTTTTTTGTTTTAAGAATAAGAACCCCCATGCTAGCCTATTTTCGTGACTGGTGAAAGTTCTTTTTTTTCTCATGCTTTACTTAGCAGTTTCTTCTGAGTCCTTTTGAGGAAAGAAAGGAACGCTATTCTTTATTTAGAAGTTGATGATATAGCATTAGGCTATGAGAATTCATAAAATTCTCAAAAGAAAGCAGGTTTATCAGAATGGGAGAATAATTACCCATTGTTGGCAAACAAATGGCTTTCTTCCATAATGAAGAAAGGTTCTTTGCTTCCATCGGAATTTGTTCGTAGTTGCGGATTGGGTCATATCCTGTCTGTAGATACAGTCCCTTTCCTGCAGGCACGTTGCTATGGTGAATGGGACTGCAGAGATGTTGGGGATGCTTGAAGTAAGCTAAAAACAAAGATACAAAATAATGAATATCAAAGAATGGCCTTTGAGAAAAACTTTTGATTGTGTAGGTTTGAATGTTGATTTTCAATTCGTGTACTTGTGATATTATAGGTTTGGTAGATTGTTTACCTGTGATAAAAGGTTTAGTAGATTGTTTACCTGTGATATTGAAGGTTTAGATATCAGGTTGTTTACCTGTGATATTGAAGGTTTAGATATCAGGTTGTTTACCTGTGATATTGAAGGTTTAGATATCAGATTGCTTACCTGTGATATTGAAGGTTTAGATATCATTGTTTACCTATGATATTGATGGTTTAGATATCAGGTTGTTTACCTGTGATAATGAAGGTTTAGATATCAGGTTGTTTACCTGTGATATTGAAGGTTTAGATATCAGATTGTTCACCTGTGATTTTGATGGTTTAGACATCAGGTTGTTTACCTGTGATAATGAAGGTTTAGATATCAGATTGCTTACATGTGATATTGAAGGTTTAGATATCAGATTGTGTACCTTTGATGATGTAATTGTTTACGAGTGTTAGTTTAAGTTTCACAGTATATCCAAATGTAAGTTTGGATGTTAGATTGTGTACCTTTGATGGTGTGATTTTGGATGTTGGATTGTTTACCTGTGATAGTGTAGGTTTGGATGTTGGATTATTTACCTATGATAGTGTAGGTTTGGATGTTGATTGTTTACCTGGAATCGTGTAGGTTTAAATGTTGGATTGTTTACCTGTAATTGTGTAGGTTTGGATGTTGGATTGTTTACCTATGATAGTGTAGGTTTGGATGTTGGATAGTGTAGGTTTGGGTGTTGGTTTGTTTACCTGTAATCGTGTAGGTTTGGATGATGGATTGTTTACCTGTAATCGTGTAGGTTTGGATGTCAGATTTTCCCACTAAAACTGGAGGCATGATTTCGTGAGGTGGTAAATCAATGGTTTTATTCAGGGAGTCGTAGCCTTTCATGTCTGATTGAATCTGTAACAAATTATATCACATTATTGTCAGATTTACCAAGGAGAAATCAAATATTTTATGTCAGTCATCAAATTACACAGCATGCTGAGAAGGCTGTAGGATTTTCAAATTATTTTCTGAAATCATTATTCTGTAGATAAATGTTTTTTTTAGTGGAATTTGATTTGAAGCAAACTGAAAATTAGCTTTGTTATTTTCTACTGAATGAATATAATGTTATTACAACATTTTTATGAGAGCAATAAAAAGAAATGAAGTTATCATAAAATTCTGATAAGCTTTACTCATTTTTTTAAACTTGGAGAGATTCTTTTATGAAAAAAAGTTCTGTATTTAGAGAATGTTTCTTGCATTCTAGGACGGGGGGAGCAAGAATCTTTTCGCCCCAAGAAATTATAAATCTTTGTGGCAGGATTCTATTATATAAATTCATGTTGGTTAAAAAAAAAAAAAAAAAAAGAAACACAATTGTTTAATTTAGTTATGAAAATTCAATCCTAATTATGCTACCACTCAATAATTTGACCTGAAAAAAAAAATCCTGTCTAGATTGAGTTGCCTGGAAGAAAGTTTTTACCTGTCACCTAAGTCTTTGATTTTTCTATAAGTGAAGTTAAAATGACAGATTTTGCATTCTCAGGAGATTTTTTTGTCATCCTCTATGACTGTCATCACATTTATTTGTTTCTGCTTGATATAGATGTGGAGATTAACTTATTTCTATTATACTATGGGGATACAATCTGTGAAGAAGTGATGACAAAACACAGCAGGGCCTAAATCTAAGATAAGACTGGGGACAAAACTTTTTTTCCAACAGAAGAGGTGTTTCATTATCACCTTAAAATATAGGAGAATGAAAAATAGATGAAGTGTCCTTTTGCTGAGATTTTTTGCCAATCATTGTAAGTGGTTTCTAGGTTAATTAGATTGTAAAACTGTTCCTCAGGAATAACAGTAGTACAAACATTTTTCTGAAAATGAAAAAAAGAAACCAGCAAATTTCTCTGAAGACACCAATAGCATCTAAGATGATAGAGGCCATTACTGATAACTGAGTGGAATGCTGCAGTGTCCCTGATTTGTAGCTGGTTGGTGATATATGGAGTACGGCATGTCTCTGGGTCCACACATTACTTACCAGTCCTTGGGTGGTAGAAAAGATAAATGATCATATCAATATAGATGTGTGAGATTTCCAAGCACCTGCTGCCTCAGTGCGTATGCACACAGAAATCTGAACTTTTTTGTTAATAAATAGGCCTTCAATGTCAAGAGATGGTCAAGTGCTATATGCTTCTGGGTAAAACTGATACAGTTATTATGGGTTTATCACAAGCATTCTCCATATCAAATTTACCATTAAAAATCTGCCTAATTCCAGCAACAATAATGAAAGAAGGATTGGTTTTCTTTGTTTTTTCCTCCTGGGTATCAGTGGAAGAATGAGAAATGGTATGACAGAATATTTGTTGGAGATAAAAAATAAAACCTGATGGATGAACTTTGAAATATGGCTGGAGTAAAGGGAGATAATTATGATGTGATAATGGGTGGATTATGAGCTTTCTGGCCCCTTATGTCCATTAGTAGCATTAACCTAGCATTGAGAATTGCCAAATTTGGTGCATATCCACAACTTAAATGAGGCATTCACAGAGCTGATCCATTTTAAGAAGTGTTAATTTGCCATTAAGACGTGTTAATTTTACCCAAGTGTGAGCTTCTTAAAGAGTAAGACGTTTGCTCAGGGTCTCCGAGTAAGACAGAAATGAGAGGAAACAGCAGCTCGACAAATGGCTAATGGTATATTGTAATGGAGACCTTCTCACTAGGCTCCAATAAAAAGTGCCCAGGAGCTGTATAATATCAGGCCATACTGGGAAGTCATCTTTCTAATTAGGGTAATGGATTTGGTAATCATATAGATGATTAGAAGTTCTGCTCCATGTATTTCTATTGTCTGATCACAGGGTGATAGTGTGAGGTCATGTTTGGTCTAAAGACAGGCTGAGGCACAAATTGTGAAAGTGTTTGTTATATATATATATATATATTGTAGTTTTAATTTAAGTATTGGGCAGTGACATAGGAGGTAAACTGAAACTCTGCTGTAGAGAAGTCATTGCTTGAAGTAAATTGCTCAATTTTTTTTATTTATTTATGCAATATTACTAATTAATCCATTTCCAAAGTATATCCAAAATTTACTTCTTTAATAAGGTTAGCATATTTAAATATGCGACAACGAGGTGGAAATACTTCTTGTAAGGAAAAGTGATGATTCTCAAGCCTAAGTTACTTGACACTTAAAAACTAGAATACAGGGTGTTTCTGAAAACATGCAACCATTTACTTTTCTTACTTTGTTGATATGCAAACAGAAACATACAAAAGTTTCATACCAAATTATACTAAAAAGGCATAAGATTTTATTGATAACAAAAATATGGGGAATAAACATCAATTAAATTAGTTATGATGTCATATCTGACATCATTAAAAACAAACAATTACCTAAGAATTTACAAGAAACAATTAGCAGATGTCGAAACTGTTGTATCAAAGCACATCTCAGGTTCTTGCGATTGTGAAGAAAAGGAATGCAGAACTCAAATATACTAATAAATGGGAGTTATAAAGAATTAAACAAAAATGGAATCTAATGGAATGAAAGACTTAGGTTAAGGACTAACATCAAAGGTGGTTCCTAGCACAATGAGAATTATTGGCCCGGCCCATTTTTCTTTCAAAACTCGAAATGGAATGTGTAAATTCCGAAATATACCTGAAATTGTTACACAAGAAATTTCTACCCTTTGCAGAAGAAAACCAATAATGTAGAAATTTCAGCAAAATGAGGCACCCAACATACCTCATAATGTGTTCTGGACTGGATGCCAGTGGATGGCACAAAACTTTTCAAATCCAAAATGTTTGCCTTGACACTCACTTAATGACTTTAACCCCTTAACTTTTATTTCCGAGGAGATTTGGAGCATACAGTTTATAAAATAGGACTACCTCAAAATGGGCATAAATTAAAGGCTGATTATACAGAAATAGTGTGGTATAGTTTTGAGATATTTCTTGCATCAGATAATTAGATTTAATTATACATCAGAAGGAACACCATTTAAAGTATAGTTAGTAACTAAATATTTTACAACTTCTCTTAATTCTTTTGTATCTCATTATTTATTTGAGGGATTCTTTTCATTTTCTTAAAAATAAATCTTGAAGTTATACTTTCAAAATGATAGGCTGTTGGCTGGTATTGATTGAAATCATAGAGAAATACAATAGTTTGAAATGGTTGCATGTTTTCTGAAACACCCTGTACATGAAGATGTTATAACTCCTGACTTTGTAGATTTATAATTGTTCACTTCAGTATACTTAAAGAGACATTGAACAACAACCAGTTTAGCAGTTCCAGTTAGTGTATTCTTCTGACTTTAACTCAGTGGAAACAGCTAGCCCTAAACCCAAAATATTTGTCTCATCAGTTCTTCACCCAGACTTCGTAAATAATCATCTCTGTCTACGAAACGTGTTCATAAATCAGACTAAACTGGTCCTCTAATAATATGCTGTGGTGGCTTAGTTATGGTTAATTACTGATTGCATGTCTGCTGATCATTTAAGGGTCACATTAGAAATATCTGTTAATATAATTAAATTATGACCAGTGTTACATAAAGCTTCTGGAGATATTGCTAAGCTCGGATGTGACATCATTGCCATTGCATGTTTGCGATGTGCCCCTGCTTTTTCCTTTTTCCATTAACTGACTATTCCTTACCATTGATGTATCATTAAGAGACGATCAATGGAAATCTAATCGAACGTGCAGCCATTGTCAACTAATGATCAGAAAAAAAGTTTTTTGGCGTGGTTCTTGAATGTGTGAGAAGTTTATTTTTGGAATCTCTCAGAAGTATAAATGTGCATTATTTCTTTGTAATGTTATGCCTTCTGAAAGGGAAAGGTGTGAACGCAGCATGTAGAAGTACTTACGATTGCTTGTATTCCTGCCAGATAACCATTTAAATCGTAAATAGGTAACAACTTGGAGTCGTCTTCTAGTCTATACAGAAAGCCATGATAATTATCAGCTGAAAAGGAAAATATAATCAGCATTAAAACCTGTAATGTAATGTCACTTCTAAAATATTACCATCCCATTCAGTGCATTAGCCTTCTGAGCAATGCATAAAGGACATCTTGGTTATCAATAAGCATTATCATCTCTTCTTCTAGCATTGCATAATACTGGCACATGTATTTCTGTTCACTGCGGCCCAATACTTTTACACAATTAAGTCTAGTTTCTCAACATGGTTCATTTTTATGCTAAATCTAAGAAAACAATTTACCCCCTTTCCATTTTCACCCATTTTTGTCCTCTCCTAGATCATTGGTCGATTTTTTGAAACTGGTTTTCAAACAGTTCATCTAGGATGTGTCAAATTTATTATTTTTGAGGGGGGGGGGGGGGGCAGGGATAATCTGAGGAATAGAATTAAGAAATAGTGTTAAAGACATTTGGTTCTTCAACATTAATTCTGTACATTTACATATTTTTGTACACTCTTTCTCTTTGGTACCCTTTTGTAATTTCATTGAATGAAATTGATGATTTTCTGTTATATTATTGCAAAAGCTAGAGGTCAAATGAGAGATTAAATTGAGAGAAGTTGTAACAATGTTGCCCCCCCCCCCCCAATTCAGAGTTAAGGTTCAATTGAGGTGTGAAACGATGAATTGAAGAGCCCATGTACAATTTAATTAACAGGAAATTCAGAGGAAAAATATCAATAGTGGGAGCGATTTGGTCTTGAAGAGTTTTAACTAGGAGAAATTGTGCTTCACAAGTTTAATTTGAATATGAATGCAAATAGTATGTAAATATCAATTGGCCTAATTCAGGTGGGAAAATTTTCTATTATTTATGGTGAAGGTTGCCAGCTTACATATAATCTTAGCTTCTGATTCATTTAGATACTTTACAAAAATGGATGAGATAGAGTTAGCAATATTGATTAATTTGGATAAGTTTGTCCACCACTCTTTATTAGGGAGATGTACATAGGAAGATGATAAGAAGATGTCTCTGGTCATATTTCCATTCTTTGACGTATTGAGGATGTAGATATATTCATACTTCAGACAATGAATTGCCACTTCTCTGGAGCGTCATCTCAGCTCTGATATGTATAGACAAATTGATCTCTGAGGAAATTAGAGTTTTTGTTACTTGTCAGTATTTGATGCAGAATTTGTCTGGTTGAATGCTAATATTTGTTGTGCAAACCTCACAAATGCAATACACATTCCTGGTTTTACTCATTAAGTTTGCAGTATGATATATGACTTAGAAGGTCTGCTTTGAAAGATGATTCTTTAATTATGAAAAACTGCATCATATGAATAGTAAAGAGATTTGTTTCTTCCCATAAACTACAGTTAGTTGTGGAAAATTTAAATAAAATGGATGGAACTCTTACAAAAAATAAAAGTTCTATGGAAATTTCTGCTTTGAAGAGCTGCAATTCATTTCCCAGATATTACAGTAGCAGTCCCTAATACATTTAATTAAAAAGGATATTTTTTCAAACACACTTTTTCTGCAATTTATTTTTGAGATATTGCAGTAACATTCCCTGATACATCTAATCAAAAAAGGATATCTTTTGAAACACATTTCTTTGCACTTTATATACTCATCTGTTTTTAGAAAAAAATATTAGTGAAATGATATACTGAGTAAATTATAATATTATACTTTCATGTAAATTAGTTGAATCTGATTCGTCGAGAAACATTTGTTAAAAAACACTATTACCCCCTGAATGATGAAGCCACGCCCTCCAGGGTAGCAACAGTCAACATTGCTTGACGACGAGTGATATTCCAAAATATAGTGACTGCACAGAATTTATGCGCGCAAGGTTCACTTTTATATGTATTTGTATAAAACATTCAGCATAATAAATTAAATATTGCATGTAGTTGAGTGTAACGTTGAAAATTTTCACCCCTCGAAAACCACTGTCAACCTCGGCTGCGCCTCGGTTGACAATGGTTTTCTTGGGGTGAAAATTTTCAATGTTACACTCAACTACATGCAATATTTATATAATAATTTTATTTTGTTTGTATTCTAGCCTCTGATTGGTTAATATCCAAAAAGGAACAAATTATTTCTGTATAACCTGGTTTGGTATGGGGACACATCCCCCTGACAACCAGCTGAATCATCCGTATCCATACAATCCTCTCATTTCCAATCCTCGGGATTCATGGAAAATTCCAGATTTAATAAATGTACCTTTAATTTCAAACAATAATTCGATCTCACCACATGTAACCAAACAACATGGCTGCTAGGCCTATGTATCAGTTTTTACCTCCCCTCGATTCCCATCACTTCCGTTACTTCCGTTACTATGGTTGTATTATTGAGCGGCAAATTTGAACTAATAAAAAGTAACAAAATTTTACACCCATAGTTATTTAATGATTTTAAAATTAAATTATAAGGAATGACTCTAATTCTTGGCCAAATTATTCGAGTATAACCTGGTTTGGGTCAGTTTACGCTGTTTTATAATCCGCTTCGCGGATTATAAAGCGTAAACTGACCCAAACCAGGTTATACACGAATAATTTGGCCAAGAATTAGAGTCATTCCTAAAATAGAGCACTTTGAATACTCCATATTGAGTTTTGTAGATGTTTAATATTAATTGGCTACCAGTATTCCTAGAATCTCAGTAACAATTTCTTCCCTCATTTTCTGTAAAATGACCTGGAAAAAACATGCACAGATGAACAGACAGACAGTTGTCATTGGTAACATATAGGATCATCTGATCTAAATTTGATTGGCTGGAATCCATTACTGTGAGGCAGGATTGGTTCTTCAATCCATCATCTACAAACACAACGTCCCTTATTTGTATCTTCCTCTGTCTCCTTCAGACATCTTCAGGAGCTTCGACATCAATAAGTCCTTCACGTTCATCCTCAGCAAACCCAGGACATTTGGACTGATTCCATATATCTTATGATCTGAAGTGCTCAGATAAAATTGATATGGAAAAATATGATCAAAGAAATTCTAATGCTTACTTTGTCCAAAGCCAAAGATCAAATTGTTGCTATTTCAGTGTAATTATGTCAAACAGTTTCATGATCATGGATAAATGGGACTTGGGGAAGAAAAAAAAAAGAATTCTTCTGGTGATCATAGACATCAGAGATTGAAGAATGGTTTCTATTTTATTTCACACAAAAAGATGTATATAGATTGGCTAATTAACACAATGTTAACCCCTTCAGTTGTCCTATTCTGATCTAAGTTATCCTCTTGATGTGGCCTAATAGACAGACAGAACATCATCAGTCACACGAATAATTGTCACAGCTAGGGAAGAGGGAAGGAGATTTTCTTGTAAGCAGTGTCATCATTATACTGTAACTATAACAAATGGGAACCAATAAATTACATATTGAGAAAATGTCAACAAAACAACAATTAGTGGAACTCTCTTATGTGAGGAGGAAGAGAGAGACTGGTCAATAAGACTGGGATGGAACATGATTTTTACATGAAATTTATTTGTCTTTTGAAATGAAAATCGAGTTTTTTGATGAGATTTTTGTTTGTATACACTTACTAACAGTTTTAAATCTGAGACTGAGTAGGCTCAGCCTCTACTGTTTCTAATTAGCAAATGTTTAATTGATAGGAAGGAACAAATTCTATTTTGTGAAAAAAATCAAATTCTCCTTCAAAGTGTAGGCTTTGAAGATAAAAGAGCAAATAGATTGCATGAGCATCAAATTAATTAATCCAATAGTTCACGTTCACTTGGTAAATGAACTAGACTGAAAATAAAGAATAAAGAAATTAGTTCAAGACAAAAGTGGAAAATCAGAAAAGAAATTAAGCAACCAGGATATGGCAGATAATGTGCGACATTCCAATCAGAGATGAATCCTTTGTCATTATGAGGCAGAAATTCGATTAGAGGTGATCACTTGTCCAGAGTGTGTGAAGCACCATCAATTAAAAACATGATCTGGTTTGATGGAGAGTGAAAGAACAAAAGATGTTGCCTTCTAAAGATTAGTAATTGATAAATTATGTCCCCAGCATCTCAAGCCAACTCTAGTGATGGCTACAAAGAGAGATTGACCTCTGTGAACTCTGTCATCTGGAGAAAGGTTAAACTGGAAAAAAATAACGGAAAGAAGGAGGGGTTGTTGTCAAATGGAGGAGCTGTGATCATTTTTGAGGTTTCTATTGTGTCTAGTGCCTGGAAGCAGAGATGGGTTGAATCTCGGAGGCATGATGTCATGAACAGGAATTGTAAGGATATCAAATGTCAGAAACATGGAAAAATATCAGACTAGGAAAAAAAAGTGTAACAAGTTTAAATAGTTTTCTCTGAACTAGATTACATAAACTTTTATATTTCTAAGCATCTTATAAAAATTTTAAAAAAGTGTTGAACTTCAGAGAACATATGCACTATTGTGAATGACAATGTTAATTAAAGACTTCAGAGAAGAATAACAATAGCTGATTTTTTGTATTCTGAAATGGTACAGTTGCCTAGCAGAAGCACGTCTCAAAGTGTAATTTCTAATTCATATTCTGACACTTCGCTTTCAAGTTATTTTTCAAAATGAGAATATAAATGACTTGTTAAGACAAGTGGATGAAGCAGCAGCCGGGGTATTGATTTCTTCTTGTTGAGTGAAATTATTGTGAACTACCCCTGCAGCACCACTGCACCTTTTAATGCTTTTGACAGATGCAGCTAAACACCCTAACAACTCTGCTGAGACCAGAAACAAATTATAGGTCAATATAATTTCTTATCATTTCTACATTCTTCATAAACATTTCACATTAAAGTGATTAATTCTAAGCTGATCAGTAGATTATACTCTTTATCTTAAAGCAGGTTCGGAACAGAATGGCCTGCTTAATATCAACTACCACCATTGATGATGGATTACCTCCCTTTGCCAGGGCTAAAGTGACTTGTGATGAATTATCTCCCTTTGCTGTTTCAAATGACCAGGGATGTTCTTATCAGATTTTACTTCTGTTTAAGTTGAAACAGGTTCTCTTACTAGGAGTTATATGGCTATGAATGCTAACTTCATAGAGAATTGAGCAACATGCTATACAGAGTTTATGAACTGTTGGTCATCAAAATAAAGTGGTAGCTTGGGTTGGGGAGATTTAATGAGCAAATTAAGCTGCCATGATACTTATTTGATAATGCTGCTTGTGTGTGCAAGTGCCAGAAATATGAAATGATGGATGGGTTATTGATGGTCAGTAGCTTACACTGTAAATTCTGTGTGGGAAATGTGATGTATCCATAACATGACTGATGTGGGGGACCATTATCATTGTGTACATAACAAGATGGGGGGTTAATGAGGGGGAGCTCTTAACATCAGAAGGGGGTGATAAAAGAAGAAAAGGGGCATAACCGAGTCAGTCTGACACACAATACATGTGCAGGAACATTATCAGGGAAACTAATATAGTATTGCTACAAGTGACCTGAAGAATCGGCATCAGCTGTTTCTCTCATCAGCTGGAGATGTATATATCAGCTTGTATTCAGACATTCCCTCACTCTATTAAGATCCTGGGTACAGATATTTTATAAAGGACAGTCACTTATTTTTTATTAATAGCAGCTGATAAAGTGATAAGAATTGCTGAAGGCAAATGTAAGGGGTTGAGTGGGGGGTCAAGGGTCACTAGGGGTCAGGATATCCAGATAAAATGTAGATATTTGGGGTAATTTATATTCTGTGGAATCTTATGGAATAACTAGTAAAATAAGCTTCTGAATCAATAATTTTGTTTCAAATTTTATTGAAACTGTCAAATATGTTTCAATCTGTATCTACACTGAATGACAACAAGAACATATTTTTAAACTAGTACCTATAGAAATTGACCTTTTACAATATTGTTTTTACAAACTGCCATGAAGTCCTTTGTATACCTATTTCTTTGGTTTTAGACCGTTGAACTTTTATTAATTTGATACTTTAATCTGTCCCCTATGTCATTATGCTAAGTGAATTGAATTACTGCTAACTGAAAGGTTCTGTCTACAGTTTACATATAATGAGGATACATGGTAGTGATAATTTGATATTTCATGACTTGATTAAGATGATCAAGCAACTGGGAGTTTATATAACTGTAATCATGACCACTGAAAATTACAAAAAAATTTACAATCCTGTGGAAAAGCTATACAATGTTGCATGTCATTAGGAAATTCAGATAATTAATTCTCTTGATCAAAAGCATTAGATATATTTTTCCCCGGAGAACTATTGATCCAATATTTTCTGGATGGAACATAGATATACATAAAATCGGATTCCTCTCCTAGGTTAATTGGTGCTGTCATAATTCACTTGATCGCAAAATTTTTTTCATGCAGAAAATTGGAGAAAGGTCTTGGATGAATGAGAAGTATATATTCCATTTATCTAATGCTATCTTTGTTCGGATAGTTTACAAGATAAAGTCCAATAAGGCAAACCTGATTGCTGCAGATGAAGTGAAGTTTAGAGAGATTTGGTATCTTAGACAGGAAATCATTTGGAATATGGCATATCATTCCAGCAGAATGGACATGATATAGGCTTGTATACATCGTACTACCCTGTATTTCACTAATAACTCTTTCTTTTTCTTGTGACATCCTCTCGTGACAAAGGAACATCAGACAGTCTCATTCTAAGTCAAGTTGTATCTCACTCTTCAGTTATGGAGGTGAATTTACTCAATGTGAATTAATGGATGAAACACCATCCATAAGAAAATGGACAAAATATGCCCAGAGCTACATGCATAATGACCTCTTTTAAGTTTCCAAATCATTCATTTCATTTCTGAGCTGCTAATTCACATTTCCAGATCAAACAAAGCAGCTTTTACCATTAAATATTTTCTGTTTTCTATGTATTTCCAGCAGCCATTGTTTTGAGGGTATTTTGTTCTGAAGTCTGAGATCTTTAGATAAGACTTTTGATACATTATCTGAGAATATCAAAGATGCACAAGAAAATCAGATAATCATCTCATTTTCCTTTAGTTTCAAGGAAGACTAAAGAACAAAATTAGATAGAAATACATAGTTAGTGTGTATAATTTATAAGGTTCTGATGAGTTTCAATGACAAATGACATAGAAACATTTAAATGTGACAGGAGTTTCTTATTTCAAAGGATATCTGGGGGAAGATGGTCATGAAAAATTAATGAATTGATAATAAAGTCAATATAGTTGATGGAGTATTTTTTATTACATGGTTTAATTCTGCTGCTTGATTTCTGGCAAGAATATTTTAATTAAAACAAAGATTAGTTTTCACACATAACTGATATAATTTTGATACTTTCGAAAAGATGAAAAAATTAAAAAAAAAAAAAAAATTCTACATCCCTCTTATTTTTTGTTGTTGTCAGATCTGCATAGTTATATGAATAAAGTAGCTGTTATGTTTAAAATACTGTATTGTTATTCATGTTCTTGTGTGCAATAGAATATGTAGAATTTAATTCATTTAGATATTTTATTTATAAAAAAAAAAAAAAATGTGAAATTGAAGATTTTAAGAAATTTGTCACTTATTGCTTTTCAGTATTTGATATGAAATTAATAGCCATAGAAGGTTAACTTTTTTCCTGGCAATCCATCATCTTTGTTCATGGTTTAAAATTTCTGAGAATCTTTTGAGAGAAGTTATTTTATCAGTGTTGATGCTATTAAAATGGCTGTGACTATCCTAAAAGCTTCATTTGGTCAGGAAGCCTTATTTACATAATCAGGTATTAGTATTCTAACAATCCTGACAGCCAAAGATTCAGTCTTACAACACAAACTGTTTTATGATCCTATCATCTGTCCCAGACAAAGGAGTTTTTTCTTCGGAACTTGCTTATGATGGCATCTTTACGAGTCCCTTGAATATTTACAAATACATCCGTGAAAAATGAGATTTCATTAGATGACATGATTTTTTTCCCTCACAGATTAAAGCCTGTTATGCACTATAGGATTGAGGGTTTGGAGTGAAGACACAGATGCTTGAGATTATTATTTTATTGACCTTACACATGGACCCAAACTGTCTGGGGACAATTTCACCCCATTTTTCATATCTGTGGTCTTTTATCATAGTTTTTATTCTATGTGGAATCCTCCATATTTAGTTGCTCTGCCTCATTAGCATTTCTGTGTAATCCTTTGTTTGATAGATTAATCCATTGTGGGAAAAATAAAACAAGAGGCCCATGGGAGATAATGCTCACCTGAGTTACTTTAGCCCTACTGTTCTTTGAAGATTTTAAATTAAAAAGATTTTTATATTCCCATGAAAATTGTGATCCCATACTATGGCCCCACTCAAAGGGCTCTCCACACAACGTTGGGATGCTTCAGTAGCAATACATGTATCGCTAACATGGATTGCAGTTTTGGAGACGAAAAATTCTTTTTATGTATGCATGCATCATTGCATTCACACAACTGGGGAATTTTTGAAAATTAATAGATTATTGTGGTTCTTGAAAAGATTTTTATCATGTTTTCTTAGATAGTCCAAAGTAAAACTTTGATCCCCTATTGTGGACCCAGCCTACCCCTGGGGCCATGATTAACAATCTCCATTATATTATGAAGCTTTCACGTAAGTTTCATCTTTTCTGGCTCAGTTGTTCTTGAGCAGAAAGTTTTTAAATGACCCCACTCCAATTTGCCTTTTCTTATTTATCTCCCCTTGGAAGGGGACTAATATTGCTTTTCATTTGAAGTATTTAGAATCTCCGTTAACCAAAGATGCTTTGTGCCAGCTTTGGTTTAAACTGGCCCAGTGATTCTTGAGAAGATGTAAAAAATATTAAAAGTTTACAGAAAGAGGGACGGCGGACAATGGTCGATGAGAAAAACTCACTTCAGCTTTTAGCTTAGGTGAGCTTAAACTTATTAAATGTACGTGTAATAGGAAAACTCAAAAATATTATGTAAAAAAAAAAACACTCAAAAATTTTCGTCCTTTTTTTTTCAAGGAGCAAGAATTTTTTTCTCAAATTTTTCCAACAAGAACAACAACAATAAAAAAGAAGTGTCCTTTGTTTCTAAAAAATATGTATTTTTTTTTTCAAAAAAAAAAGAAGAAGAAATTTGGTCAGTACAACAACTCATTATATACCTTTTTTTTTTCAAATACTAGACAATCCCTTTGATAATACTGTTCTCTTTTTGGCTTCAGGGCTTTAGAGAAGATTGATTTTATGTGTTTACTGGTAAAACTGACACATAAAAAAGACACCTCAGTAGAAACGTGGACAAAGAAAAAAGATAAAAAACTTTACATATAGCTTGGTTTCTTAGGGCCAGATCAATATAAAATGGATGAAATATTCATGGAAGAAGGATTCCTCACTCATCTAATACCGGTTATATGTATGGAAGAAAGTGGTGAACTACCTACTAGTATTATGGGATGGTTTAAATAGGAAATTAGATTTTGGTTTGGCATTGAGGATTGTAAAAGACTGCATGGGATCTGAGACTGGTGGCCTAGCAGGACTGCAGAGAAAACCAGTAAATAAAACACTGTGCTGGTTTTGATTAATTTTAGTTTAGAAGCTGTCCTGTCAAACACAAGATTAGACCTCACAAACTTTGTCCTCACAGACAGACAGACATACACACTCCTGTAGGCTTTCAAAGTCTGATAGTTGTTTTACTTGTTAGTAAATGAGATGAGGATATGTGCATTTTTACTACGTTTCCTATTCATTAAATTTTCACAGCTGATACTGAAGCATTGTAAGAATTATAAATAGTTCATACTTACTTTTACATATATCATTTTGCCTTTTATAATTTTCTCTTTCTGCCTCCTCTCTCCGTCTTGGTAACGGTTTGTGTGTTCCAAATTTCACTAAAATAAAAAAAAAAGACAGATATTTCACGATTTACTTGGTAACGGTTCGTGTGTTCCAAATTTCACTAAAATACAAAAAAAGGATATAGATGTCTCAATATATGCTTAGTTTTATTAAATGTTATCGATTCCCAGATTATTTTCATACAAGGAAAAGGACATCTAGACTAAATTGAATTACACAGAAATATAACCGATTGTATGTTGATTATCTTATAGATCTAAAATAGGGCTTATATGCATCACTTTGTGAATGATAAACAATTGAATTGGTGATTACGGTTTCTCTTGATGTATTTCCATATTTATGATCAGGCCTGATAGCTATTGACACTTTCTATTCACTCAGCTTAAGCCAAGGAAAAACACTTTCCCCGCATCGCAATACATTCCTGTGTCGGAACTGCCATCGGAGTTATTATTTTAAGACTTGGTGGGAACATGAATCATTATTTTTCATGGATTTTAACAGGTCTAATTTATATTTTATTGATTGCCAATCTTTATTGTGGCACGAAACACTTTGTAATGAAGCATCAAGTCATATTAACCATTGTAGAACCAGAGAAAACATGCTGTAACAATCTTCCTGAGAATGGCATGATCATAATTGTTACACTTTACATGCCAAAATACTTGTACATTAATTTACTGAAAAATAATTAATAAAAAGATTGTATGCACTTCTAGATGATATACGAGTCTTTACATGTCTGCTGTCGTTTGGCAGCATTTTTGTCATGATTAAAGCATACCAAAGTGAGCAATAAACCAAGATGTGCATTAATGATAAAAGTGGGATTTTGTCAGCAGATGGTTTTATTTTCATCTCCAATTTGCCATAACCTAAGTATTCCACACCTTTAATCCAGACTTGCTGGTGCGTTCAGTTTGGAACACCTGTGTGTGTGCACATGGGGAGCATATGTAAGATCTGATACGAATCTGACATTCTACATCAATACTTTCTTTCTGATACAAATAGAAAAGTTTCCTCTCTCATATTGAAATGCATTGATTTAATTCTGATAAAGGTATAATACAGAATTTGTGTGCCATGTGAATGGGGGGAGAACTTTTCAAGGGTTGGTATCAGAAAAAAAACCTTTGACCTTGTAAAAATTGATCCCAGATTTTCTGCAATGTGCATATGCTTCTAGTTTCTCCATATTTTCTCTTTATCATATAGTGCGGTCTAATATTACCCTGTAATCATAGGGCTCTCTCAGACCAGGCAGCTGGTCGCTTTTTTCCCACTCTAATTTTGTGATTGTAATCTAGAAGTCCTCATTTGTAAATGTCCATTTGTGTTTTATCTGGACCATTTTAGACCGTCCACCCTTGATTATCTGACCACCTGTCCACATTCATCAGTGGACCATAGCCAGACAGAATTCATTAATGTGAGAATGATAAACTAGGAAAATTTCCAACAGAACATACAGTGCTATGGTCCATTAACATTAAATCTTTAAAAATAACATTTAATGAATGCACTTTTCTTTTAGTTTGAGCTGTGTTTGCAAACTGATGAGCACTTTGCATGGTATTTCACAGAACCCTGGTTTCTGCTCCTACATTTATTATGCTGTTTACTGCTCTTTAGAGATGGTGTCTGTCTGAAGAGAAAATTCCAAGGATCAAAGAGCTGGACATTACAAAGGGAACATTGTGCGCGTCATTTCTAATCGGCCATTTGTTCTCAGGTTTGAGGATGTAATGTTGATTGTAATGGCTGGAACCGCTTTCTGTTTTATATTTTTTCCAATAGTCTGAAGCTGTAAAAATCACATTCACATACAAGGAGGTTGTCTGATAGAACTCGCTGTTGTCTGATGTGTGACCACTCAAACCCCCTACACTATTGGTTAGGATCACAGCATTTATTCCTTCTACAGTTTTGGAATATGTAGCGATGTGGTAAACTTTGACATAAAACAACATTTAAAATGGTCATCTATACTAATTAGTTGGTGTAGAAAAGCCTGTAACTTCCGTGCAATGACCTTTCTCTTAATGATTAAGATATAAACTGTGTTTGTATAGCAGATAAGATGTGAAATTATATTAGTAAGTTAAATAACAGTTCACAATGGCCTTAGCCCTGAAACTCTCCAACCCACCCGCTGTTCTATAACTAATGTCGGCTGATGAAGCATATTCCCAGTAAATTATTTGTCTGTAATGTCTGCCCACCTGCGCCGTGTCCTTCCTTCCTACTGTAATGACGACAGGGTTTTGTTTTGTAATTGTTCTATATTACCTGTATACTGTTATTATCTTTTGAAGCTGCTGTTTGAAATGTAAACTCTGCGTCCTTGGTTTTCCCTGCAGTTGACTGTAATTCCATTGCTCTTTGCCAGTTCCGTCTTTCCTATTGACAACCTGTGTATGGTTACAAAGCTAGACATAATCGGGGACTGTCAATTCCTGCTGCCCCGAGATGTAATTATGGAAATATCTCAAGTATTCGGCCATTTTAAGAAGTGATCACTAAACATCTAGATGGGTATTCTGTGAACAAAATCAATTAGAAATTCCCTCAAGTTGAGTTAAACTCTGATTTTTCTTCTTCATCTGATGCATAATTCATGTGATCTCTATGCGAACTGTTAATGCATGTCTCCAAGATGATGGAACATCTAACTGTCAGCTCTCGAAGGAATGACTTCATCATAAAATCTGCCCCCCTGAATCAGGAATGACCGTGTTGGGAGCAGCACCAACAAGTGTGATCATCATTTTCTGAGTGGCATGAGGCTTTTTTTTGTATAAATGGCACCAAGTCCTCTCTGTTTTGTCTGGTTCATTCTTCAAGAGACTTAAGTATACGAGAAAAAGGGGTTTGCCAATTCTGACTGTGATGATTTCTTAACAGACACTGAATTCTAGTAAATACATTTGTCAAAAAAAAGTTTTTGCCATAGATGAACCTATGTGATTTGTACATTGTATATGTGTTCATATATGCTTATACTGTACTATGCATATCTCATATTATTTGTTTATTTATTCTCTGTGATCACAAGTTTTGACCATTTTCACTTTATATGCATGTCAGTTGAGTCCAGCTGTCCACTATGTAAAGATTTTGTGATTGTCAGTTGAGTCCAGTTGACTGCTATGTGAAGACTTTGTGAGAGTCAGTTGAGTCCAGCAATATGCCCCCCCCCCCCCCCCCCCCCCCCCGTGAATGTCTCAGACCTTTGGTCAGAATAACCTGTCCACACAAAATGACTTTGACTCAGCAGGTGCCCTTTAGTCTGCAGATGCTGCTCACCACTAGAAATAATCAGTTTCCGTAAATGTCATTTCCCTTTTTTTGTGAGTGTTAATGTCTAACTATAAAGTGCTTTGTAGAGATATTACCAGTTTAGCCTTTGGGTGTTCCAAGAACTAATTCATGGCCTAATTAAGTTCTGATGGTAGGAGGTTTCACACACCGTAAAAGGAAATGCCTCCAATATGGCTTTCTTTGAATTCTTGCAGCTATTGAAACCACTTAAGTTTATTTGTATGTGGAACCTTACACCACATAAATGTTAAATTATAGAAGAAAAAAACCCACTTACGGGGGTTGTTTTAACTCGGTGTAAATGTATATTTAGTCATAAATTACACATCCAACTTGAAGATTGTTTTTGACAGGCATTAGGGACTGTTGCTAGAGATTTTCATGACAGAAGGTGTTACCGTGTTTTTAAGAAAAGTTTTAAATAGAGAAAACATAGCTAGCTAGACAATTTGGAGACCCATCTAGAATCAAACTCTTTTATCTTTTTGTTAAGTTTTCGAAAGAATTTTGTAAACATGTTCTAAATGTGCATTATAAGCCATTTTGATCTGTTTATTACATCAGATCCATTACACAGTTGGATAAAACAAAATGAGTTAGATGTTAGGGGTGTTGTACAAAAAAAATGAAAATGTCAGGTGAGCTTTGGGGACTGGAACCCTTCCATTGACCATGTATGCAATCTATACTTATAGATCTAAAGTAACGGATAAATTATGATCCAATCTATGCATTTGACAATGTAAAATTGACCATATAGTACCCTTGCAGTTCAATGGATGCCCTGAGTAGGGACATGGTGTGTCAGTTTTTGTATTTCAGTTTTTGCAACTAAAGATTAAGATCTGCCTAGTAATCAAGAAATGCTTATCCTTTAAGATAAAATACATCGCACATTGGTCACAACTTGAAGCGGACATATAAATCTTGATTATCAGATGTTTTTAAGGATGTGTGTGGACTTGACAGTGATACATGTACTGAAATAGCCCGGGATAAGGGTGATCTATATATTCTGTCAGACTTAAACTACATAGCCAATATTGCTTTTATCAATTTCACAAATAGCCTACAGTAAATTTTTTTGAGCGATCTTTCTAGACTAATCATTATACGATTCATCATGGTATAGGCTTTCCTAGGAATCCCCAGGTGATGGAAACCAATATCTTATCTTTTTACATCATTTGGAAGACAGCGAAAGGCAAATACCCGGGTATAAATCAGTGGATTTTTAATAACTAGAACAGGTATTAATCCTCAAGGGCTCGGAAGAGAAAGTCGCAAATAAATTACGGGAAAAAAAGCAACAATGATGCTCAGTTATTGAGTGTTTGAAATGATCAAAACCAGAATCAAATTTGTGACACGAGATTGTTTTAGGAATAGTCTACAGTACCACAGGGAAATCAGCTTCAAAGACAAAAGTAAAATACAAAGATGAAAATTGTATGTTTTATGAAAAAAAAAAAAAAGATTGATGTTGGTAATATATATGAAGTATATTGGATGAAAAAACATTTTTTTACTCAATTTTCCAATGTATTTCCAAATGTAAAAGTTTTCTCAAGTGGTAAGAAAACTTGGGTAACTATTATTATAATTATATACAGTTGAACTTCGATATCTCGAACACTGATATCTCAAATACCATGGATATATTAAAGTGATTTGGAAATCCCAACCCCTTATTCTTTAAGTA